CTCTGCAAAGCCACTTACCAAGGACTGCAGCGTCTCCGACCAACCAAACGCCACTTCATCATCGCTCGTGGTGGCTTTGTCGGCGTCCATGCTGGTCTGTGAACTGGGGATAGTACATCAAACTGGGAATTCATACAGATGAACATCCCATTGGTGCTTGGCATCGGCCTATCTGCGCAGACAGTCTCCGGCTGTGACATTGGGGGCTTCTGTGCAGCATGGCAAGGCCAGATTGTGGATTCCGAGATGCTGGCACGCTGGACCATAATGGGAGCATTTCTTCCCTGGTTTCGACACCACTATGATAACTACTACAAGCCGTGCCAAGAGCCATACCGCTATGAAGAACCAGTCCCCACAATCTGCCGAAAGTACATTGAGTTGAGGTACAAACTTATTCAGTACATCTACGATGCCATGTATGAGAACACGCAGACAGGTAAACCCATCTGCCGGCCCCTGTTCATGGATGAGTTCAAACCGGGAGAATTCTATAACGATGCACGCGCAGATGACCCGCATGGGAGGGGATATAACGGTTACACGGCCAACCGATTGGATGATCAGTTCCTCTTGGGTAAAGACATGATGGTGGCACCCATTATCAATCCAGGTTTGTTTATTTTTAAAAGGCCATTTTTATGTTCCATGCTGTAGACCTTATCTGGTACTCAGGCCTCACACAGAAACCCTTGCCATAACCTTGTTGCAAAAATGGTAAAATTCCCTTTAAAAAAATGGCCAGTACTTTCCAAAAATGCTCTGCACTTTAAGAGAACCCTCCAAGTACTTTTTTAAGACAACGCATCTTAGTACATAGCAACTGTACACCACTGAGAGGAAAAGCCGTCAATTTATTGTATCAAAAGGTCAAACGAGCCGTGCCGTCTACCTCCCCGCTGGGGGTCAGTGGTACCGTTTTACAGATGACAAGTATCCACTGGAGGATCCTGTCAATGGTGGGGTGGAGTTCGATTTCTACGCCCCTTGGGACGACCCTGTTAGAGATGACTGTGCCATTTACATCCGAGAAGGCGCCATTATACCCAAGCGTGAGGTTGAGCAGTACATTGGTGAGCTGTACCGTCACGGCAAGGTGAATCCCATCACGTTTAGTATCTATCCTGGCCGAGACAGCAGCTACAAGTTGTATCTGGACGATGACGGTGTGAGTAACAAGGCAGAGACCGCTGGCGAGTATAGACTGACTGAAATCAGTCATCAAGGTAAGGCCGCATGTAAAACGTCATATGATTGACTTGTATTGCCTAAACAAAAACTCTCTTATAGTATTATGTTGCCTGCACCAAAGTATTCAGTGGTCAAGCGAGTGCATACTGTGTGAACGTTGTAATGTCGGAGGCACGCATTCAGGCAGTCAGAATCAAGTCGTCTCGCACGAGTTATGAACAACTACACAAGCCAGTAATTCACGATGTTATAAAAGAGTATAACTTTGTATTGCCAAAGCTCAACACAGAATAGCAAATCAACAGGATACCCGTACTTGAATAAGCTTTATGTTCGAAAAGTTTCGAGTTCTCCCTTCCCCTACTTTCGGTTCCTTTAACAAATTCCTCTGAAAGTTTCAATTTTCTTTCGTTTATCTTGTGAGACAGTGTTGTTTTTTGTGTTTTTTTATAATTTTACGCGGGAAAGTGGCGAGCGGCTGTCTAAAATTGATCCTCTCGTGCATGCACGACGTTCGGACAGCTGTGTTACACTGGGGAAACCAAATGAACAAGGTTTTAAACGGTGAAAGGAAGCGTCGACAGAACTTTTTATCTTTTTCTTTTTCAATCATCATTTAACTCTTTCTTTTTCGAACACCAGGAATTGCAGGAGGTCAGCGGATTCGTATCAAGCGTCTGCACGATAAATTCAAACCACGTGAGACGTACCACTACCTTGGAATGCCGGGAACGATTTGTCCGACCTCCGTCAAGGCTGCTGGGAAAACCTTGCCAAAGAAAACCGGAAACACGGACGAAGAGGCTGCGAAAGCCTTGGTGGACTCCACAGACACACCAGGATCCTTTTACTATAATAATTCATTGAATACAACGTACATAAAGATCTTCGACACGATGAACGACATCACAGAAGACGTAGTATTCTGAAATGTTTGGAGAACGGACTGACATTTTCACGGCTATCGCTCTGTCCTCGCTCGAACTGAACAGAAGATATGTTAGTTCGCAGACTGAGCGTGTTCAATGAAAGTAAATTGTATTTCGTCAGTGGCTATTCAAAATAAAATTTGTGTGATAATGAAATGAGTATTGTGATTTATTCATCAGATAGATACGACGGCAGCCACTATAAAAATAAAGTTATTTCTATTCATTGATAACTATTTTTTAATGACAAAAAATTAGAATACAAAGCGGCAACTGTTTTGCCTCAGTGACTGATTAACCTTTAACCTCCCATAAGTGATATCAAAACGTAACTTCTTATAATATCCATTTATAATCCTGCAAACAGGAAACAAGAATACTCAAACGTATCAGGTAAAGTTATTTTGATCTAACACCAAATTCCCATAACTAATTGGAAATGTGTAGCAGCTAGAGAGAGAGATAAAAAGTCAAAGGGTTGATGAAATCAAAAAGACGCAAATGTGGAGAATACAGCGAGCAGACTGCTAGACAAGGCATCAGTCAAACTGAGATGAATAGATAATTTTATTCGAACTTCATACAAAATTGAAATAGACCCATGGATTGAATGAAATAAACAGTGCAGCTGCACTTCGATTGAAAATAAAACAATGGGCCTCAGGGTGCTGTAAATAATTGTTTAATTTCTCCACCCATAACGCTTTAAAATTATATCTTTAATACGGTAAACTGCAACAAAAACACCAGATTCTAGCGGCAATACGTGGAGACACTCGTCCTTGAGACGCCAACGACAACTGGAAAACACTAAGATTTGCTGACGATATCGAAGTCCGCAAATATCCGGCATCAATAGCTATTAATCACTTAATAAATGAAATGGCAAACTGTGTCACAAAAAATTTGTCAGGCAACACCCCTGGTCGTGACAAAACACGGAGAACCTTCTAGAGCTCACAACGAATCCTTAAGCGTCAGAGGACGAGCCTTTTGCGACGCGAGCATAACATTTATTGGAAAAGGGACTTTTACGTGACCACAGAATTAACTAAAAGTGGAAAATACACACTCTCGTATCAAATACAATATCATGCTTGTGCCTGATTAAGATAAACGGCATAACAAGAGCGAGCAACTTCGTTTCCAGTGTCCTCTCTCTTCCTCCCTCGAGGAAAGAAGAGAGAGAAAACTGGGTACAAAATTAACCTGCGAAGCTGAAACGTACGCCATATGAAATGACGTTATTACCTAAACGAAACGGGGAAAAAAATAAGTCTCTTCTTGACTTCGTTTGTTTCACTTGTTATGCTGCCGGCGAGAATCATACCTGGTTATTGATTACTACTCACTTTTAGCTAACTTACGGGAGTAGAAACAACACCCACCCAGTAAAAATGACAGCCACCCTCCCCTCCCTCCCCATATCCAGAACTTTCCCATAATCCTGTGCGCCACTAACATTTAACCCTAAAGCTTAACAATAACAATTTCAATGCTGTGAACAAATTTAGCTAAATGTAAATCATAACTGCACCCGATTATAAAATATCCTATGGCACTTCTGAACCCAACTGGAACAGAGGTAATTGCAAACGTCATTTCACCGTTTTTGGCTATTTACAATCTGTACTTATACTGTGAAAGCTAATAAACACACTTATTAATTGCAGATACAGGGTACCAAAGCTTTATGAATCAGCTTGGGCATCCTGTGACGAGAAACTGCAAATTGTGCCAAATTCAAATATATGGCAAACGAGTTCATTCTTTTCAAGAGCTTTCCACAGTGAAATCATTTTGAGCGCGGAAATACCGCATTATAAATACGTTGAAAATGTCCTTAAATTCTGCATATTTAACAAAATACGACAATATCAATAACGTTCATTGTCCAACAATAAATAGCGCCCCCCAACCCCCTAAAACGATCAAGTCAATAAATATGCACTGTTCGTACAGCATTATGTAGCTTCATTTGAGATATCCTCTTCAAATAAAGGAGGGAAAAACACGAAGGAAAAGTTGTATAACGCCGCGCGATGAACTAAATGAGAAGAAACAGCAATTGGGCATGGCATTATGGCAAAAACAATATTTTTGGATGTGTGACATGAAGGTAGAAAAATGATCGGTCACGCATGCGTGAAATTAGGAGCCAAACCTGATAAAATGATAAATCGGTGATAAATTGGTTATAAATTGGCGATACGACTTTGGGAAAAGGAAACAGTCCAAAGATGGCGAGAAAAAAACATGCTTGCGTAAAATCATAGAGAAACAAGAAATTGCCACAAGACAGCGAGAAAAAGAAAAGAAAAAGGAAAAAAATACCCCACACACACTCTGCGTCACCCTGTGGCTAGAAAAAAAAAACTAGGACTGCATAACATCACAAGTGTACATAAGTGTATCATGGTGAGGAAAAAGCTGAGATGTTCGGCACCTTTTCTGGAAAAAAAACCCAGCTGTTCTACCACCAAAGACACCAGAAGATTTCGTAGGCTACGAAGCGCAAGTAAACGCCCTTACACATCACCCTTTTAAATTCATTACCTTACTTCATTACCCAGAAGGGCACCTAACAATAAATATTATCCCGTTTAAATAAATTATGGGTCCATCGGAATAATACCAAATCCCAACAATACCTGATTAAACACTGAGTAACAATAAATTGATAACCTTAATTAAATTACTTACTCCTTAGCGTATAAACATCTACGCGGGCCTTTGTTGGCTCAAATGTAATTTTTAACTTCTTAGACAAGACACAACAGTTCAGATACCCCAACATTTCTAACAGAAAGTAGAAGTACCCCTCCCTCAGTTAATCTATCTGGGCCAGTCCTGCCCTGGATCTTCCACTGATAAAAATTATCCCTGCTATAGGATTAACTAATTGCATGATTTGACCACCACGGGTGAGGCCTTTTTTCCCCGTTGTACGACTTGATAACCTTGCCACCGAAAAACCTTGGTAACCTGGCGTCCAAAATTACAGCTTGGTTACCTTGTCACCATAAAGGGAAGCATATGTGATTTCCAGGTCACAGACGCTCAGTTGACTCACTTTCGTTTCGTGCAGAGTCCGAAGGTCTTGTGAACTCTAAGAAAGAAAGCACGATCAGAATCTGTCAAAACTTGTAATCGTGTAAATTTTTCAAAATATGACAGTATCACTGAACGCTTTGAATTGTACAGAGGACACTACGTTGACGAAGGGAAATCCAACGTACCTTTTTCCTATCCTCATCGAGAGTTTCGTATAGTTTATCGTGTTCTTTCTCCAACTCTTCGCTTTCTTTCTTGTGGAACTCTGTCATCTAAAATCAACAAATATGAAAAAAGGTTTAAATATCAATCAGTCAGCCAAGCTGTCAATCATCTATCCATCAATCAATTGGTCACTTAGTCTGATCTTCTATCAATCAACCAACCAATCCCTACGCAAGTTATCTGTGCCGAAAAGAAAAGAAAGGTGGGACAGGGAGAGAAACTAGGGCGTTGGCCGGGTATGTCAATTTCACTGAAGTTATTTTTAGCTTGGGGGCGGTGGTTTCCTGATGTAATTTTATTACCGAAGCCATTTTAATCACAAAGAAAAAATATCCTCACTGTGCGCCAATACATCAGTGTTACTCACAGGCGACTTATACTCGTTGAAAGGGGATGGATGTCTTTCATCTTTCATTGAGAAAGGCAACATGCGTAAGAGATTATTTTCTCTTGGTACCAAGTGATATTTGTCTGGAGAAAACGTACATTTTATCTGAACTGGACCTCAGATGATTCATCCTTTCGAGAGACAAATCAAACCCAACGAAACACAAACCTTTTGTCGCTCTTTGACGGACTGTTCAATGTGTTTCTTGTTTTCCTCCCGTTTCCTCCTGGAAAGCAAAAGTGAGCCATGAGACTCGTGGGAAGAAAGTAGAGATTGGCTCAAACTTTCAAATCGCTCAGTTACATCTAAACCGAAAGTAAAAACAAGATGACTTTCTGATCCCTGAACGGCGCAGTTTTGGTAAAGGACTACAAAAAAAATGAAAGACGCAGAAGCCAAACAACAGATACACCGAACAAGATGTGACTCGAGAGCTCGCATGACACTAGCTCGTAAGCGAGTCCCATTCTCCATTCGTGACTATTTAACTGCTGTAGAAAAAGACGGAGAAAAAAAAAAGAATAAAGGAAAAAGGGAGTGAGGAGAAAGGAAAGAACGGGGAGACAAGGAGGGAAAGACAGGCAGGAGTAAAAAAAATGAAAACACTGTCAAGCAAAAAAGACCTGCGGGAAGACATGACAGCGTGAATACTCCTTTGTCGCTTCTGTTGCCATAAAATTGTTATCAAGGATACATTAACAAGACAAACATGGCAAACCTTTGCAGTTCATCTTTGTTAGAATGTTGTCGCGCCAACACTTTAAGTTCCTCTCTGTTCTGATTGTCCTGGCTCTTTCTTAATTCATTCATTTGCCTGAAAACAGTGAATAATTCAGCAAGAATCACAAACACAGGCACACACTACGATCATAGCGTAACTGTCTTGCAACAACCATCTAATAACCATAGCCATCCTGTTTCATCTTTTAATCACAAGTATCAAGTGGAAGACAGTCGCAGTCCTGAGGTTTGAGTTTTGGAACAAAATCCTGTAATGTGCCCTTGGTAAAACACGTTTTTAAACAAGCCATTCTATATCATTAAATTTGGGGTTTTTCTACCATTTTTAACTCGTGAATTGCGCGTATGCGCAAGAGCGAGTTATAGATACGATGTGGGGAATAGCATTCGCTCGCTCGCTCGCTCGCTCGCTCGCTCGCTCGCTCGATTCGTCGATTCCTGTAAACTTCTTTTCGATTTTAGGCTTTTGAGTGCATTTGGTAGTTTGTGGTGAGCAATAAACAAACGAAATGGCGACCTTTGTTGCTAAGAATAGTGGTGGGGTGAAAAAGAAGCCAATGACAATCTTAAAGGTTGTTTTTTTTTCGTTTTAGTTTCAAGGATTCACACTGAAATAACAGAACAACCTTCGTTTTTCATAAAATTGTAATTCACAACCCTTGAACTTGAAAACAATCCGAAAATTCATTGAAAATATCTCTTACTGCGAAGCGCACGGAGTTTACAGATGTTCAAAAGCTTTTTCTGTTATGTTGTGAGATTGAGGACAAAATCGATCGTTACGTTTCGTATCGTGTTTTTTTCCTGTGCGAAGCAACAAAAGATGCCGGCGACTGACGAAATTACAAATTAACACGAAAATCCAATAATACCTAAACAAACAATTTTAGCTACCGATTTTCAGCGAATTTTTAACGAACAATTTTCTTTTAAGTTTCAAGACAATTTGAAGATTCAAAATACGTATTACGTACTAAAATGCGAAAGTTATACACCACAAAATTGATAAATAGGCCTGAAATGAAATTCTATCTTGTATCTTGTTATTGATTATACGTTGCCTAGCACGTTACTAAAATCTACCCAGGCGGAGATCCAAAATGACGGTGCCAGTCTTGGCTTAGTTATATCACTCAAAACTCGTTCCCGTTTGTCTCATTTGATAAAGTATTGCCTTGATTTTCTAATTTTTACAATGATAGACAGTAAATTTCACTTTTCACCCACATTTACTTCCAACCTTTTCTTTTGAACCAGAAACAAAAATGATATACGTTTAAAACACATGACATCATCCACCCTTGTCAAATGTAATAGCATGATCATTTCAATTGCAATGCCTTCTTATCCCAACGTTACTTTGTTTCTTTGCTACATTAGCGAACACTGAACTACTGCTCGTGCTCTAGATACGACAATCAACCACAAAATTCCCTAAACCAGGTAACATTAAACATAATCCAAAAAATCATGTGTCAATTCACGAGTTTGCTCATAGAGCACTTTGATTAAGTTTGGAATCCTTGGGGAATCAGAGGATGGATCCTCTCTTACTTAGCGTGTAAATCAGCCAGTGATTTCATCTTCTCCTCCTGCGAAAGTCGCATCAGCTTCTCCAGTTCCTCTTGTTTCTACGTGAAAAAGGTACGAAAAAAGAAACATTTCGAAACTGACAAAAGACAGAAAGATGGAGGAAAAAATGGGAAAAAACACTGTAAGATGCTAAAATACACAGAACTGGGATGAGTCGAACACGATAAATTATATTTTCTAATGCATGGTGATTTGATGTGCAAGAGACAAACAGAAAATGTACGAATGAGTAATTTACGAACGATCCGTAACCCTTTGACTCGCTAAGAATTTCTAGCATCTAATTTCTCTATACAATTTCACCCCTGAATCACACAATAAGGCCAAAAGAATAGGAAAAATGATCACCGAATAGAAAAGCTCTTGATTGTTAAACAAAATCTCTTTATAGCACCTCAGCAAATGTAAAGAGAACACTAAGGAGAATATGCACACAAACATTAGGATGTGAAGGGTCAATAAAGTGAATGAGCTTGAATTCATCCTTACAGGAAGAAGTTGCTTTTCGGCGAGCTCCAACTGTTCATTCAGCTGCCTTTTCAGCAGGTCAACCATGGAGTCACGATGTTGGCGTTTAAGGGCATTGATCTGAAAAAAAAGCACCCTGAATTACTTTTAGTTTGGCACAGGTGGAGCAAAATTTGTTCCGTGTCTCAGGTAAGTTATGCTAACACTACTTCAAGGAAGTAGAAAGGAAGCAAAATAATGAACGATTAGTGCATTGTTGAAACAAAAAGAAGTCAAACTGAGTGAAACTCTGACCAAAGCACGTATGTTCAAAGATGATCGTCAAACTTGGTGCTGTGGCAAGCAGCATAGATGCACTATAGAACTTGAGATGTGGGCTGAGATGCAAGTGCCAAGGCGACCACTATAACATTTGCAATTAAGGCAAGAGACAAGGTATCGTGTCTTATTTAAGTACAACGCTATTGCGGGTAAACCAAAATAATTTCCTCTAGCTGGTTGATAGAGCGAGAGCTTTGTATTTTCGATCTAATGACCTCGTCAGTGGTCACTGTCATCTAGAATTTAATGTTTCTTTGATCTGTTGGGTTCTCCAATCATTGGTAACAGCAAGTTTTCATATTTGATTGATTTTGTAGCCTAACACAAACGCAGGCGGTTGATCTTTCTTTCTAGCAAACATCAGCAAAGCTGATTGGATGTGTCTTCACCGTCTGCTTCAATTCCGCGAATCTGGTTGGCTTCTTAAATAAGTTCACAAAAAAAATTGTAAATTTGGTCCCTTTTCTCATTATGGCATAATACAAATCTGCGAATCTGATTGGCTCTCTCATCATGTATTCTCATAATGGTATATCATAAACCTGCAAATTTGACTGGTTTTCTAAGGGCTTCTCTTAATATATAATTATAATATATAATATGCTAGTAATCTTAGATTACTAGCATATTATATATTTTTTTCTTTTCATGAGGTCAACAGCGAAAGAAAAAGTAAATAAAACACGTTTCAACCCTTCTTTAGTAAACGAAGTTATGCCTAAAACAACAACAAAAACAACAAACAACAAACAAACAGATAAAAGTTTTAACAGATAAAAAGGTACAGGCTATCGATCAGAATTGTTACAGCTGTCGAAGCCCGCGTATGGATAGCGCCTTTAAAGGCGAGTACGTACGATTGAATCCTTGTCAACACCGCCTGGCTGTACCTAAGAGTTCCAAGAAAACAAACCACAGCAGTTCCACGTGAAAATCAAATATCTTTGACACGCTACAGAATTTAGCTCCAGCTGTGCAAGTTATGCTTTGCGGTGCAACTCATTTGTTACGGCTGTGCTGTTTTCTTAGCCACTTTTCAGTCGCGCAATGTTGTGCTTGCAATTACCTTATTAAAAATTACATTTGAGAATTACGAGAGTTGAAAAACGTGTTTTCGATGCTAAAACACAATTTAAGTTTTAACCTAACGGTGCAATTAAGAATAATATAATAAGCAATCTAAGAACATTACCCGAGTGATGTGTGGTTTACAGTACAGAGTTATAATCAGTGACTGGAATTAAGTTTAAGAAAGATGTTTCACGCGAAGTACAGGGAAGAAAAAAGTTACGAGTCGTGGATGTCATGCAAATTAAAAGCTTAATACTAGTAATATAGCTAAAAATTTAAAAATAATAAAAGTTACAGAGTATGATCACAATACCAAGAGGAGTCAACAAACCCTGGGAAAAATCAAACCTCACATTTTCTGAGTATTACTAGGAAAGTCTAGGGACATATGAGGGGAAACGTTGTAATAATTGAGTAATCGAGGACAAATAGGGGACATTCTAAGAATTTATAGAATATTCTTAAGAAATTCTACGTAATATTGGCCGTTTTTATGCTAGAGACGTTAAAGTTGTCTAAGACGTTAAAGTCGTCTCGAGACGACTTTAACATCTTAGACAACTTTAACGTCTCTAGCATAAAAACGGCCATTTTGAGGAACTGTGCCAACTATGCTTTGCTACAAGAATGTGTTTTGAGATTTGTAGGATTGCGCCTTAGAATTATTGTGAAATTACGGAAATGTGTTTAGGAATGCTGGTAAACTTTAGGGATATCTCTTCAAACGTCAGGAGATTTTTAGGAACATTTCGAAATACTTCTTGGACAACAAACATTTCTGAGAATGCATACAAACATATCTAGGAATTACGGCTAATTTCAATGATAAATTCTACGAACGTTTAGGAATATTTACAAGAATATCACAAAGAATTTTTGTGAAATTTTATAGGAATATTTCGAGAAACGTCTGGGAAATTTCAATATCATACACTTGAACTGATTTTCTGATCAAGGGCATTGGATTTCTATGAAAAAATTCCAAGGAATATATATGATGCCTTAAAAGAAATATTTGAAACGGGGTGGGAGTATCTGATAACACTAAGAAGTATGTCTAGAAATTGTCAGAAAATTTAATTTCATGATATATTCGTACGTTTGGTTATTTGCAAGACTAACTGGGGGAGTTTCTGAGACTTTCCAGGAAGTTCTAAGAACTTTTAGTTAATATCTTTCAATTTCTGAAAATTTTTGGGTATATGATTTGAAATTTATAATTTCCATGATTTTGTGTTTACTTGATCAACAGATATTTTGAAATCATTTCTCACAAATTATCTGAATTAATTCAAGATTACTTCAACTATTTTTCCTGTCAAATCCAATTTTGTTTTCATCATCCTTCTTTGCTGGGGTGTTTAATGGTTTCTTTACCTTAATTTCATGACTTTGAGCCAGGTTGTTCAGGCCTTCAACTCCCTTGCGGTAACTTTCTTCATAATTTCTGCAAAGGAGCCAACAGAACAGAATTACCTAATAATAATAATAATAATAATAATAATAATAATAATAATAATAATAATAATAATAACGATAACAACAACAACAACAATAATAATATATAATGATAATAATAAGAATAAATAACAACAATAATAAAAAATGCTAAATAATAACTGTTTTAGTATATACCACACAGATACCAAAAAATTGGTTTACATATTTCAATGCAATGAAAATTGGTCAGAAATTTAACTCCTGACCAGTGATTTTGTCTCATTTGCTGCTCGGAGCTGAATGGCATTTGCTTATCACTTCCAAACCAGCCAATGAGCAAGCGCGAAATGCACTAGTCTCTATGTGTAGTATAAGTGGTATATACTAATAACAATCATTATAATAATGATAATAATAATAATACATCCTTCGTATTTTCTATTCGACAAGTTGCTTACCCTTTCTTCTCGGCCTTCTTGAGTTCTTTGTCACTTTTTTTCTTGGAAGACACTTTCTCCTTATCTAGGTCTTTGATCGTCTTCTCCTGCTCCAGTAGGTGATTCTTTTGAAGTTTGTCTTTATCCTGAGGTAAAAAAACAACATCTTAGATAGGCTAAATTCTTAGAATGGTTAATTTGGTATCACTCAACAATACACCCCTATAAACTTTTAAAGCTCTCTTACCTTCTCGTGTCTTTTGACCAAGATGTCCATTTCTTTCTGGTGTTTTTGGTTCAGTTTTAAAAATGGCTGATGAATAAAATAACTAGAAATGAGCTCCAAGGCAAAACAAACAGAAGAGGATTATAATAAGAAACAACAATAAGTTTCTTGTCCCTAATTTCAAATCATTTGGCAAATAAATATTGAAAATCCTGACAATATACAGAGAGAGGTCGGCAAAGAGTATTAAAGTGCATGCGACAACCCCTTAAAGTAACATGGGTAGTTTTCAAATCACGGTTCCTTAAACTCAGGATTTCAGGGAAATCTGGGAAAGCATCACTGTGAGGACGAGATATCGCGAGTTTGATGAGCTTATTCATTTAATTATTTATTTCAATTATTAACATTCATTACCAGATACTCAGATTACCTTTCGAGATAAATAGCTGTATATCTATCATGATAACTCTGAAAAGTGACGATTACAACAAGAAGTTTCTTTTACACTGATGTATGACCGACTAGGGAGACGCATCTGTCAAGATGTCAAATGCTTCCTTTTGAAAAAAGAATCTGTTATTTTTCTGTAACTTTCTAGACTGATGGATGATATGATGTGTGTTCTGGAAAACAACTTATAGATCACAAATCTCTATTTATTTTGGAGTATGTTCAATCATATTTACATGAAAAAGAACTGGCATTACAGAAAGTTGCTGTTCTCATGTACAAGGGAGAGAGATAACTCAGATCTTTGTTGAACTGCTTCATGATTTTCAACATCAAATGTCTCAAACCTGTCAAAAGGTGAAACTATTTTTGAAACGAATAGTAAAATTTTCTATTCAAAATACAAGATATTTCTCACCTTGCGCTCCTTCAGTTCTCTGACGGATGCAGGTTCTACTTTGGTGTCTGAAATTCAGTAAATTGCCTCTCTCAGTAAAACAAAAATACATTTTATTAATCAAACATACCACACTAGAATGAGCATTTGGGGGAACATAGAAGAAAACAGCTGAGAAACAAGCACTAAAGTAATGACAATTTCTAATACTGAGATTTAATTGTACGTTTTACAGTTGCATGCTTGGTTGCCAAGCCTTTGAACAGGAGTGAGGCTATGGGTGACCTTGCTACGATACAAATCTTGCTGTTTTTCAAATGGAAATTACTTTGTTATCACGCTAACTAGATACTGGTCTCTATCACAACACGGTCACCTTCAGCCTCACTCCAAATCAAAGGCTTGGCAATTAAGCACATGACTGTAAAATGGCCTATTGAGGTTTCCGCTGGACCTAAAGCAAACCCCAACGACTACAGCAACGAGAACTGCAATTTGGACGTGGCAATAACAATAAATCAATGGACAGAACAAGAGCTCCGCATGTGCGTTTTTAAACTTTTTACAGTTCTTGGTTGTTCTCTGCAAAATAACAATGTGAAATCACCAAAACTAGGCGGTTTGAGAACGGAAACCTCCACGGCTAATTATTTGAGTTTCCATTGGCACCCAGTGCTCCTCCCACACGTTGGGCGGAAGTTGAGGTGTGGCTCCGTAAGAGACGATAAACACATCCAGGCATTCGCAAAATTTAATTAAAAATATTTATTCATTACTTAATCCCAGTCTTCCTTAGCGTTGCCGTCTTGACTGCCTAAGTCCCCTAACGTTGTCACACAATATATTTTAAAAAACACATTCTCCTAAGCAAAAAGATGCTCAATACATCTTTTAAAATGGATGACAAAGAGGGTGTCTGAAAATGACAGGCTTGCCATCCCAGCTTCAAATAGTTTTAACACTTCAACTCCCACAAGCGATCAACATGTAACTTCTCCCGATAGTATTCATACATTATCCAACAAACAGGTAATGAGAATTCTCAAACTTATCAAGCAGAAGTTGTCATCTTGATCTAACGCCAAATTCTCCTAACTAATTTACATGGAGATGTGAAAAAGTTTGAGGGGAGAATTAACAATCAGATCTAGGGAATTAAAGGGTTAAAAAACAGAGACGGAGTGCAAGTGACTGACTACGTATTGGTAGATCAGTAACGCCCTACCCGACCCTTACCATGGCAAATACAAATACCCCCCCTCCCCCACCACCCTACCAATGGAGATTTTCTTAAAAACCTTGGCCCCCTTCCCACCCTCTACAAAGACCCCAGTTTTTCCAAGATTATTTGGCTGTAAAAGAACCGTTTTTTCCCCTTTTGGAACCCCTCAATATACTTCCTCCAGATAGTAACATAAATCAGTTTTTTTGCTACTTAAGGATACGAAATTATCGTCACCTCTGTTTGAAAACCTTGCACAACAGTATAAATGATTGTTTCTACAAAGTACACAATTTTTGGTTGTCAAAAAAAATTGAAATTTTATCTTATCCTGTTAGTTGTCATGTGAAACGATTGTTGCATTTAAGGCTGTATGTCGGTAAGGAACGAGAATCCTTCAAAAAGGCTCATTGTATAACAAATCTATCAATAATGATTCAACCTAACTGCAGCACTCAGTTTCAAAAAGATAAAGGCCAAGACATACTAAGGTAAAAGTCGTGGGGACATGTTGGAACAATTTGCAGGATTTCAAAATGGTTTCAATTGATATTATATTAAAAAAGATAACGTGAAAAGTTACAGATGGAATGGTGTGTTGCAGAGCAGTTTTGAAGCGACTTGCCAGTCAACCATACTTTGCAGATTAAGTGTTAATACAAAATAACTTTCACTGTTTGCAATTACGCTATTCAAAGCCCGTTTTATCAAATTCTCATTTTGTATTATGGACATTTACAAGGCCATCAAATGTTTACTGATTGTTATCATTTAGCGATTGTTAAAGAACCTGTTGATTCACTGAGACACAAGATCGTCTTATTTAGTATGGGCAGAGGTGGAAATCAAAGTAAGTCTATAATTTCATCTTAATATTTCATTGTGTGTAAATGAAATACACAAGATTTCATGTTTTATCAACTTTAGTTTTGCAACATTCGTTTGGAATGCACTCTAATGGGTCACCTCTACCTACTTGTACGTATATAATTGAAAGGTTAACCAGTGACACCCGGAACCTTCCAGACAACAAACAGTCGATATGATTATTTTTAGCCTGAGTTCAACAAAAAGGTTACAAAAATGTTAACAAATTAAGTTACTGGAAGGTTAATTAGACTTTTAAATAAGTTTCATGCGATCAGTTATCATTATTTAAATGAACTTTCAAAGGGTAAATTAGAGACAGCAATTTCCAACCGAGTGTCGAAAGCAAAAACGAGATTACATTTGTTTTGCCTTACTTCGCTATGTGATTGGTCCGGAAACTCGCGCCACTCTCTCAACCAATCAGATGCGAAACCAAAACAAATCACAACTTGGTCGCCCGCGTTTTCCCGCGCTTTGGGCAGTTTGGTTGTTTTTACTCCGAGTTCTCATTGGCTCTTAATGTTTTTTCCTTTCTTCTGATTCGTTTTTGTGATTACTTTGGACACTCAATCGAAAAGCACTCTATATGTGGTACAGATGATAGTGAAAAACAAATTGGGTTATTCAAAAATAAATGGGCACCTACAAAAATGTCGGAATGCCATGTTTTCTTCCCTTATACTACTCCCTGAAAACAAACATTATCCTGAATTTAGAATTTGAATAATATACTTGATATAAAACGGCAAGGGAAGCGCCATCATATCTTTGACGGGAGGAGGGGAGAGGGGAGGGGAGGGGAGGGGAAGGGGAAGGGGAAGGGGAGGGAAGGGAAGGGAAGGGGAAGGGGAAGGGGGAAGGGAAGGGGAAGGGAAGGGGAAGGGAAGGGGAAGGGGAAGGGGAAGGGGAAGGGAAGGGAAGGGGAAGGGAAGGGGAAGGGAAGGGGAAGGGAAGGGAGAGGGAGGGGGGGGAGGGAGAAGGGGGCAACAACAAACATAAAAAAAATGCGCACTGGGAGCTACGCGGAAATAACAATTGCACAAGTGTTCTCTGCTACGGCAATTTCTTTCTTATTTCAATTGAAAAAAAAAATTGCAAATACACTACGTATAAAAAGAGAGAGACAGAAAGGGAAACAGCTGTTTTCTTCTTTACAAGGAAAAAAATATTCTGCCGAGAAACGAAGGCCAAACCGCTCTCAGAAATGCAATAGTCTTTCTCCGATAATGTTAGTGCACATTTTACATCTCTGGGTGCAAGTGCAGTATTAGAAGAATAATGATTATACAACTTGTCAATGTCATTATTATTATTATTATTATTAACGTCATCATCATCTATTTACTGAGACAAGAATGACTAGTTTTAAAATGTTAACGATTTTTCCAGAGGGGATAAGATAAATCATTCTGTGCTTGGAGATGATAATTTTAGAATAAAATTTGCTTTAACATAACACTCACTACAAGAAATAGCGCGATTTTCTATTGAGTGTCAGAAGTAATCCGAGATTGCAATGGTTTTGCTTCACTTCGTTCTGTGATTGGTCCAAAAAAACTCGTGTCACTCTCTCAGCCAATTAGATGTAAACCTAAAAACCAATGACGACTTAGTTGCAAGAGTTTTCCCGCGCTTTAAGTAGTTGGGCTATTGAGTTCTCATTGGCTGTTGAAAGTACTTTCCTTTTCTTTGATTGGTCGTTGCGTTTATTTTCGTTTCGGTTTAACGACACTCAATCGAAAAGCGCTCTATATCGGTTAACTTCATTTCATTAATCAGATAGTTAAAGTAAATAACTTTTTGAATTAATTCATGGTATTAGTAGTCCGAAATGTGGTAGGGTTAGTGAGTAGGTTAAAATAATGTTAACTGTTAGGATCACACCTTTAATAATTAGTTATTAATAAATAAAATAAACAATGAATCTACCTACCCGATGGTTCCCATGTGGATTTGAGGCCTCAAATTTATCACATTTTTTGAAAAGAGACTGGTTCGAGTCCTTCTGATTAAATAATATCATGTTCACTCAAAAAGTTATTTTTCTTTGGTTTTAATGGTTTAGGTCCCATATGGGGGTTAACATTAATGTTGAAAACTTTGCCGGTTACAATTTGAAACTCCAGTTTTTTGAACGACTAGAAACGATAAGAATTTTTAAAAGAGCATTTTAAATACTAGCCACAGCAGTTTTTAACAAAGGTAAATGATGGAATTTCTTCGTTTCATGCGCAATAATTGACTTTCAGGGTCTAAAACTGAATAAATGTCATCCCATACCGGGTATGTTTATTTGCCGGTATAACTTTCAAAGATTCCTGGAACTCATTAATTTTTTCCTAAGCCGAATATGATAACAGATCAAAAACATTTTGAGCAAGAGAAAAGGGGAAAAGTTTCAAACTTTCCAGTCCCAACGATTTCTCTACCAGAAAAAGAAAGACAGTTAGGTCCGTGAAAAGAAAAGTCCGTAAAAGATAGATCCTCAAAATTATAGGGCCGTAAATAAGGCCCCTTGAAAAGTCCTCAGCCACATGAGATCCTTCAGGTACTTACCTTCAGCAGTAAAACAGATAAGAGACTGCGTCTTGCCTTCTCGTTTTTTGGTACTCCTAGATCTTTTGGCAAAAGGTCCCCTCTCTCCTGTCACAGGGGCTGCTTGGAGCGAAAGGGAACGACTCGTGATGGCATGGGGGTTGCCGCTCTTCTGTGGCTGAAGTGGTTTGATGCCAGAAATACTGTCACGGGAGCTGTCTCGCCGTAATGCCTCTCTTAGAATCATTTCTGAGCCTCGTCTTTGATTCAGAGGATTGATTTCAGCTACGAGTGAATCTAGGAATATTAAAGGAGAGTATTTAGGTTTTTTTGTTTTTTTTTTGTTTTATTTTTTTATTTTTAATAGCAACCATTTTCGGACACTGGGTTGGTAAAGTCTGTACTCGAACCCAGTAGTGGCCCATACAGCCGGACCTTGCCCGGTTTCCATAGCATGAAGCGACTAGGAGTATCACTACTCCCTTCCCCCCCACCCTGAATGGGATGCATTCTATCCTAAGGTTACCCCCCAAAATTTCATCAGGCTTCGTCGTTGGACCCTAACATTACCACTAATCAAAACTATAACAAAATTCTCGAACGTGATTGGTTATCACCAGCCTGTTTTGAGAACTAATACGACGAAAAAGTACAAGCGATGTCTAGTTTCTTTCTAAAATTTTGTCGTACTTTTTGTTACCTGGTAACAGGAATTCGAGTCGTCCGATTCCGTTTGAAATAATACTCGTGATTAACAAATCTGACTCCCGCTTCGCGGTCGTCCGATTCTGCTAATCACTCGTATAATTACAGACCGAATTGGACTCCTTTTAGTCCTTTACCCATCAATAATCACCCCATGCCACAAAGCTAAAATGAGGTCTTCTAGAAGTGCTACCTGTAACTACGAACCAACTAAGCCAAGCACAAACGAGGTAATTTATTAACAGCTATTAACCCTTTACACCCTAACATCAGTATTCATATTCTTCATACTGTTCTTTATACATTTCCTAAGCTGCTGAAGAGGAGAATTTGTTTACCGATCAAAAGCTTCTTTTGTGGGTGATCATTTCCTTTATTCTCATGACCTAAATGTGTGACTCAGGCGTGATATTGTACAGAGAGATTAGATGCTTGTCACTCTTATGAGTTCAAGGGTTAAACAGGATGTGTCTTCCGCGTATAATATGTTCTTGAAATATCGGGAAAAATATATATTCAAACTATTTACTGAACATCAAGCGTTTTGGGATGCAATGTTAACCTAAAAATCATTCATGTTGCCTTATCACCAGTCTTCTTTAGCGTTCTAGAGGTCATGATATTACTGAAAAACACTTAGAGGAAATGCAGTTTACAGGAAAAAAAAAAACTTCCTGGTTCGCAAATGCCCTTTAAGACAACAACAACAACAATATTCTTTATTTAACGAAGGTGACGTAATTAACCCAATGAGTTATCTAACTTACGGCCTTCACAGCAGTACAAATACATATATAAAATAATGACTTCTCAGCAATACGACTTACTACGAGAGAAACTAAAACTAGAAATTGTATGGCAGGTAATTTAGTGTTAACAACTGGGTTGAAAACGTAAATTAGCCACCGTAAAGGGTAAAAAAGCTGACGTTTCGAGCGTTAGCCCTTCGTCAGAGCGACTAGACTAGAAATTGTATGGTTTGACACAGATATGATATGATTGCAATTGCCTCCTAATACAGTTACAATAAAGAGAAAAACGACAATAATAACAACCATTATCATCATAAACATTTGCCAATCCCACCAACTTATTACAATCCCCTTACTTTGACAATTCAAAAACATTTTTACAAAACATTACACTCACCACTCGTGCAATTTCTTTTTATTGACTTTTTCTCTGCTTTTATTGATATTGACTTCCTTGTCTCTCTTCCTGGTGCAGACTTCGCTTTTGCGTTTTCAGTTACCTTTCCACCATCTTCTACCACAGCTTCGGATCCTGCCGCATCCTTGAAGTAATTAAAATATTACTGATTAGTAAACCACTTTAATCTCCAGTTTAATAAAGAGATCGTTATAATAAAGTTACGTTCACGATTGATGCAGTGCAAGGTTCTTATTCAAGATTTTACATGTGTGAGAGCTAGCCGTTGAAGGCCAGCAAATCCCTCTGCTCAGTTCTACTGAGCTGGTTTCTTCTGTCGTCAAATCAAGATGAGTCTAAGAATACAATAGAGATCGAGGAAAAATTTCTAGACTCAACACCACCTTCTTCAAACTTAAGTGACAACCCTGCTAAAATAACTGAGTTTGCCTTCAGCTTTCGTTCTCAAAATTATTTCACAAAGCTTACACAAAAAAACCGTTTTACCTAAAACCGTGCTCTTTTTACAATTGCATGGACCTTCACGACTTTGTCATCTTTCCCACAAACAGCAAAATGGAATACTCCTGCCCAAAGCTTATCCTGGAAAAGCTTGACCCGGTCGTTTCCAATTTAAGAGTATTCCATATTTCAAACCCCTACCTCTTCCATTTCCTCATCGTCTAACAAAGATTGTAACTGTTGCTGTCTTTTCTCTTCTTGATGATATGCAATGGGGTCACACAACGCATTTGCAAAATCTGTGGAAAAAAATTGCTCATCTATTGGTTAACAGAATCTACTTAAATAGCTTCGAACAAGCGATTCTGTTATCAGAGGCTGATGCAAAAGTAACACAATTTCGTGCTATCAACAAAGCCTACTACAACCATAAAAAAGTTACCACTCCTTTTCATGCAATGTTTGAGTGTAAAGCGCAATGTTTAGGCTAGGATAGTCAACTGACATGTCATAAACTTGTTCCTTCTGCACCAACTGTCTTACAACATCAACAAAGCCTACTACAACCATAAAAAAAGTTACCACTCCTTTTCATGCAATGTTTGAGTGTAAAGCGCAATGTTTAGGCTAGGATAGTCAACTGAAATGTCATAAACTTGTTCCTTCTGCACCAACTGTCTTACATACAACAACGTTCTTTTATAGGAATATAAATTTTTTTCGTCTCATCGCGAGCTTGGAAGAAAGCCAAAATATAATTTTCCAGTAAGGAATCGAATCCCTTTCGCGCTCAGATGCTTTTCCACTGAACTGCAGAGAACTCTAACGTGAGATACGCCGTTCATGTGACACAGCGGTCGAACGTCTGCGCATGTGCGAACGTTGTAATGACTTGGTAGAGTGCTTTCGGCCTGTCAGAACCAAGTTGTTTTACATTGTTCCTACTTTCGTTACCTACAACAGATTTCTATTAAAGTTTCAATTTTTCTTTTGCTTTTTTGAGTAAACAGTGGTTGTTTCTTAAGTTTTCCTTTGAAATTTTGCGCGGGAAATTGTCACGCAGCGGGGCAGAAAGTAATTAGGAATTTAGAACATACCTTCAAATCCAGATGGAACAAAGTCCTTTGTAACAATGTGCACGAATAATGTGGGGAGACAAAGAGGTTGATTAGATTCATTACGTAGCTTAATATGACGATAACCTGTCAATCAAAAATATAAGATGTTTTCCTGTTAGGATAGAACAATGAACATTTCCGACAAAGTTTTTTATTAACTAATTTTGCTGTTTACATTCTTAACTGCAACCAGTGTCTTCTCTTCATAAGGAGTCAAAACATCATCACCGACTCAGAGAGCTTTTCGATTGACTGTCGTCAAACCATGACCATAGCGATCGCAACAGCCAATCAAAACGAGGAAAATATCACGGGGAGCCAATGAGAACTCGAAGTGAAAACAAGCCAACTCCCTGAAGCGCGGGAAAACGGGTGTGAAACATTGCGATAGGTTTTAGTTTAATCTGATTGGTTGAGAAAGTGGCGCAAGTTTTCTGAACTAATCACAGAGCGAAGTAAAGCAAAATCAAAACAATCCCGGATTATTTCGACACGAATTGAAAATTGCTGCATTAATTGACTCTTCACATTTAGAGGAATGCTTTCGGTTCACAGAGATTGAAATATAATAATTTCATTCAAGTATCAATTTACTCAGAAATTCACCTGGACTAAGACCCACTACTGGAAGTATTCTTTGGCCGATGAGTTTCCCGCTCTCTTCATATAATGCTACTCTTAAAACTGCTAGGCTGGGTAGAACAACCTGGAAGATAAACAAAGAGTGAACCACTTTGCCGTTGGGACTTTCCAAAAGGGAAGAATAACACTTTTAACTCTTTAACTCCCAAGATCTGATTGTTAATTCTCCTCTCTAGCTGATACACATTTCCTTGTAAATTGGTTACGAGAATTTGGTGTTCAAGCAAGGTAATATCCAGTACCTGATGAGTTTGAGTATTCCCACTATTTGTTTGCTGGATAATGTATGAATATTATAGGGAGAAGTTACATGTTAATCACTTCTGGGAGTTAAAGAGTTAACAAATAGATTTCATGTTACCGTGAATCTGTTCGGTTAAAGATCACAGATGACGTCAAATTTGGATAAAAACAAGAAGGTGACACTTGAGGCGCAGCCGATTGTGTCACTGAAAAGAGTCCCCTATACTTTTACGTGAAGCGTGATTTCGCGATTTTTTACCTCGTGAATCGTGATTTGATTTTTTCCTCATTTATGAATCGTGATTAAAGATATTAAGATCTTTTTGTGTCCACGTGAACTGATTTTTTTAACTTAAACGTGACTCGTGAATGAAGAACTGAATTAAACGTGATCCGTGAACCGTTTTGTTTTGAGTGATGAATCCCGGCTTTTTAATGAGTTGAAACGTATTTTTCTCGAACGGTTGTGGTTAAGTTTTGACCAGGGTTTTGACAGGACATGAACTTCATGTAGATCGATAAAAGTCATAAACAAGATAGCTAATGGTCCTCGAACAAATAAAATAAGACATCATGTCATCACTTTTCGCATAAGACTGGTCAAGACTAGGAATGGTAAAAATTAAATTCGTGAAATCGGTTCTTATTTTTATGTGAAGGTCTCGAATTTCGCGTGAACATGAAAGAATTTTTGATATAATTCGCGATGCGTGAAAAAGCCAAATAATTTTAAGTAACTGAATTTTACAAAGGGGTGTAAGGCACCCTCAGAAAACCTAACGAAAATAATTTACCTTCTTAAACACAAAAGGTTCTTCATCATAAACTGGGTTGATAGTGTTATTTGGCACTATCTTAGTCTTGTACTTTCTTCTGACAGTGTCCGCTGGTAAGCCATACATATCTACTTCAACATATGTGCCAACTTTCTTTTCTGTGAGCCACTGCCCAGAGATAACCTGAAATGAAAGAAAAAAAACGTGAGTCTGATTAAGAATCATATGCCACGAGCAGTCTTTTTCAAGCACATAGGTCAGATGCCCCCATTGCCTCTCAATCTTTTAGTGACAAAAAGCCAAATTCACTGCTATGGTACCAGAACAGCCAGTGATTGTTGATCGAATTTGCGTCGTACAAATTCCAAACAATTTACAATTCTCTACAAAGGTTCTAAAATTTGGAACTCTCTTTCTGCTTCAGCCTCTCGTTCGTCAAATCTTCTTGCTTTAAGATGAAAATGCAAGAATATTTTAGTTTAAAGATCACTGAATTGGCCGAGCCGCACATTTGCAGCTTTTATTCTTTTTTTAATATAATTTTGTAAGGGAGGTGGCCTTCCCCCATAAGCCCAGTGGCTTCCTGGGTCTTCCCGCCTTATATAAATTATAATTCTGTATAAATTTTTCTTATCTTATTCAAAAGGCCAATAAAATTATGAAGATGATGGTGAAGGTTGCATGGATAATCACCCAGCAACAGAAGTTATGGGAACCGGAATCCGGATCAATATCAGTATCTGGGCAACTGCCCACCTACCCCACCCCTAACTCAACATTAACCTTACCTTGTTGTCAATTGACTGTTGTTGAGTAAGGGGAGGGGTAGGTGAGCAGTTGTCCAGATACTGAAATTTGATCCTGGAATCCGCTCTGACCCTTTAAATTCCCTGCTAACCCATTTCCTTTGTAAATTTAGTTATGAGAATTTTGTGTTGGATCAAGTTAACAACCTCTACCTGATAAGTTTGAATATTCTCATCACCTGTTTGCTGGATAATGTAAGGATATTATAGGGAGAAGTGTCGTGTTGATCTCTTCTAGGAGTTAAAGGGCCAATCTTCTTTATCCTCAAAAATGCTCTTTTCGTCTCGGTTTAAAATTACCACTTTCACATTCATGAAAGAGGCAATATTCCTCCTCTAGTCGAAGGTAGTTTTGCAGGCAGCAAAAAATGACTCAAAATTTTGATTCTTTTCCTTCAGGGGAACCTGAGTCTAAATTTCTAAGGTCATTGCACAACGCTATATCCCGATGGATGCCCTATGAATGAAATTTAACTAACATTTTGCTTGAGAAGATCTGAATTGCCTCAAGGCCTTTCTGCTGTTCCTTACCCTAACAGTGACTGCACCAGCAATAATCCCATCCACTGTGGACTCAGCAAATGGGTCAAATGATTTATCAGCCCGACACATAAAGCTGGGCTTTAATATGTACCTTTAAGAGTGACAACATAAAACAAACTGACAATTAACAAAACTTAACTCATCACATTAAGTGTAATCCAGAAGGCACATTCGTCTACGTTTAGCGAAATTAAATGGGACTGTGTGTATTCGATTAAGACAAAATATCTTCTTCCCAAATCCTTAATCCAATTCACCAATCTCAACTTACCCACAACGGCCATTGTACTCAAAGATTCCTTGATTCAACATCATGGGTAAGTCTGTCGAAGAAACCAAGAAATAAATTTCTTACATTTCAAAAGAATGTTCCAAACAAACAAATTCATGTGCCAAGTTTCTCTTGCTTTATTCTCGTTGTCATCCTAGACTCGAGACTGATACTTTACCAAAGTACCATTAGTCACAATCTCCTGCAATGGCAATGGCAATCAAGAAGATGCAAACACCTTCTGCACTTTGAAATGCAAACTACAAACATGGTTACAAGAAAACTTGAGTTTAGGAACTGTGAAACTTCTTGCATCTAAGTTAATGATGTTACTCATTTATATAAACCGGGATCTACACAAAAAAATTGGAAAACATTTTCTATGATGTTTTTGTTGTTTGCTTGTGACCAAGGTCTCGGGGAGAAAAGGAAGTTCAACTCACCTAAAGTTTGATAATTAAGAGCAACTAACTGACATCCTGCATTCCAAAAAATCTGCACATGAAAAAAAATTAAAGAAACAGGAACATTTGAGAACCAAGTTCTACCCTAAATTGACATTGAAATTAGCAGCTACTGGAAAAAACAAAATTGTCTGGTTTAATCTGCTGAGTTGACGTTTTTAGTGTTAGCCCTTATCCGTTATTACGGACTCTTGCTATTACGGAAATGCGGACACTTTCATGCCCCTCCCGCGCAACATTTCAATTGTTTTTTCTTTCGCTATGGCGGACACTTTAGTACTTCGTCCAAAATCCTCACTCATATAATATAAAGCGACATTACGATAAAGTAAAATAAAGAAACCATTCTTCAATCGTGTGCGAAGATGAGAATTTCCTGCCTGAGGCCGGATCTTTTTTCCGGTTCGTGAGGCCACGTTGGAAACTTTATGTTTGCGTATGGACATATTATTTCATATGTTAGAGACAGAACAATTCAATTTTTTGTCGTACCCCGCTATTACAAACTCTCGCTATTACGGACATTACATCTCGCCCCGATAGTGTCCGCAATAACGGGAGTCGACTGTAGATAGAAGAATATGCTTTATTTTTATTTACCTGGGGCATGTAATTTGCTGATCCAACTCTTGTGCCACTGGGATAAATTCTACTCAACTGACGCTTATTGTAACTGGTTGAAGTTAAGAAAAACACTATGTTTTAAAGGAAATCTTACAAATAAACTGGCAAATTATTCATTAAATCCGATTAAATTATCATTCAGTAATGTTTATTAAAGGATACTTGACAAATTCCACTGGGCTTTCTTTGAGTAGGGCCGTTGCATTATTCTCCACAAAAGAGGACATCTCATAACTTCTGTTCAGCTCTGTAAAATGGATTAAAAAAATGTCATTTGACAAAATTTGAAAGTCAGATCTTTTTCCAAGTTTCTTTGTTCCTTAGAGACCAGTCAATATTTAGGCTTGGGGGGAAGGGGAGGGGAGGGGCCAAGTATTTTGAGGGGATCACATAGTTTTCAGGAGGAACAGAGGGGGGGATCAGTTGTCACTAACAGAATATCCAGGGGGGGGCTATAGAAAATTGACTGCCGATGGAGGGGGCGTGTCTCAGAGCCTTATGGGAGGAATCAGGTAAATTTTACTGTAACACAAGCAGATCCATAAACCCCCCCCCCCTTCCATCCCCTCGCTAATAAGCCATGAACGTTCCTAGCTTAAAACTGTCCTTGCTCAACTTGTAAAAAGTGTACTCACTTTCAGAAATCTCAAAGCTCTTAAAATGGACGGGCTGGATGTAATTCACAAGAGCAGAAAGTTCAACCTCTGGGGCAACCTCCTCTTGATCTGCCTGCGTTAATTTCAAAGAGGAAATCAAACGTCAAATCAATATATTTAGGAAAAGCCCACGTATAGCAACCCCATTAAACTAGTACCCCTTCAGAAAAAAAAAGACGGCTTAATGCATGTGCATATGCAACTGATGATTAAGGAAAAACAGTTTAAGTCTGTATTTAACCCTTCAAACCTTAAGAGTGACTAGCAACTAATTTCTCCTTACAATATCACCCCTGAATCACACGTTACAGTCATGAGAATTGAGAAAATGGTCACCAGGGAAGAAACCTTTTGATTGGCAAGCAAATTCTCCTTGTCAGCACCTTAGGAAATGTATAAAAACAGTGTGGAGAATATGCATACTGATGTTAGGGCGTAAAGGGTTAAGCCAAGTGACCCATCCAGCCACAGCTTTTTCTGGTTTCCATTTAGCATGAAACGACTTGGAGCGTTACTGTCCCCCCCTCCCCTGGATGAGACGTCAGTCCATCCCAAGGTTACCCCCCCTGTATTTAATCACGCATCTCTGAAAATTCGCCATTTATACCCTCGGGTGGAGAGAAACACTGTGAGAGTAAGGTATTTATTGTGCAATTTAGTCCAAAGCACATTTTGAATCTACGTCTGGTGTTAAATCGGTACCCTTCCCGAACACAATTTTGCTTTTAGTAGATCTACTCACTTTGCTGACATCCTCCTCGTTAATAACACTACCTCCATTCTCAGTTATCTCTCCATCGACTTTTTCCACCTTTGTGTCATTGCTGATCACTGCAGTGGTGTCTATGGGGGTCTTTTCGACATCCACACCTACTGCAATAAAGATACCAGAAACTGTGTTACAGTACGAACTGAAGGAAGCATTTTGTAAGCTATGCTAATAGGTCTGAAAGGCATCCAATTCGGTCTCTAATCAATACCAGTGATAAGCAAATCGGACTCCCGCTGTCCGATCGTGCGATTGTGCTATCATTCTGGATGATTGGACGATACAAAGTCTTATTACCAATTAATCTTAATCATTACCATTTCCGAGAAAAAGAGCATAGCCAAGTTATGAAAGAGAGGAAAAATTTGCACCAAAAGACTGACGAAGTCCGATTGGTTGATTCAAACTACAACTATGAATGTCATTGGTTGACTTAAACTACATCTTGGAATGTGATTGGCTTATTGAATTGTCCAATAACAAACTGTCCGGTAACAACTCGGCAAGTGAATTAGTGGAAAAAATGAGTTTTTTTTTTTAAACCAATCACCATCTAGGAAATTGTAATTTTTATGGTTAACACCAAAATCACCTCTCATTCCCTGGGGAAATATTTTAATTTTAAGCATCCCAGAACAGCTAAATTGCTTGTGATGTTCCATTGGATGAATATAAAATACCTCACAGATTTATTACTTAAAATAATTGATTTAACCAACGCTTCAGTGTAGAAATGAAAATTATCTGAGGTTACCTTCCTCACGTTTTGATGGCCTTTTCTTGTTTTTAATCACAATCTTTCTTAACAGTGCTTTTGGAGGTGGAAGGCCTTTTCCTTCTTCTAACTGCGAATCACACAAAAAGAAACAGAGATGTGAGATGAGCAATGTTTCCCGATAAAACCGTCTACATGCAGCACTAATGTGGTTTAGTTACCGACAGAAACCAACAAGAAATACAAAAGACAAATCTGAAAAGCTTCATTTGGAAAGATTCTACCATAAACCAAAAGGGGTGCTCATTACAGAGCAGATATTGGAGAATTTTTCTGAAGCTGTGCAGAATTCTCCTGCTTAGTTTTGAAGATGTAGCTTACTTCATAATTGGCTCTCTCTGAAAACTTTCTTTTCAATTTACAGAGGAAGTCACTGTCCCAAGAAAATTATACTGCAAACCAAAAATAAACTAGGACACACTTACTGGGAAATCATCTAAGGGTTTGTTGAGAAGCATATCAGCAAAGATGCTGACACAGTATGCTGCCATCTTAGCTTGCTGCTTAGGACTGAAAGAAACAAGAAAGTATACATATCTTGCACAGATATAGATGATAAGCAGTGTTAAATGACTTTCAAGTCGACTTCAAGGGAAATACGTGGTTGAGCTCAAGTTAAAAATTTTCTTCTTCATAACATCAGCTTTGATCATTTTAAAAAACAAGCAATGATCTAGATAAGAAGCTGGCTTAGCATTCATTTTACCTGCAATGATTCTCAAAGGAAAGAATAACAGGGTATTCTGATGTCTTGAAGGCACATTCTGCAATTGCTTCTATCACATCCTGTTATAAAAAAGATGAAACACAGCATGATTTCAGGTATTTCTCATACAGGTGCGATAAAACCAAAATTACACAACAGAAACAAGCAAGCAAAACATTGAAAGAAGGACCTCTTCATTCATGCCAATACAGCCCAATAAATAATAATAATAATTATAATAGTAGTAGTGATAATAATTATGTTCAATATTTCACATTGGACTTTCCATGAGGTAACTCTCCATGCCCACTGTTTCCAAGTAAAACTGGAATTTTAGTTTTTCTGGTGGAAGGAAAACCAGTGGACCCAAAGATAAACCTTTGAAATACAGGCAAGAACTGATGACAAACTCAACCCAGGCCACAGGGGTGTAAGGTTAGCACTCTCATCACTGGGCCATCTCCTCCCCAAGTCTTTCCATCTATGCTTTTTATTGGTTCCCTCCATTCTTTGTTTATGGAAGCAGCTTGGCCAGAGGGGTTAGGGGACTGGACTCATCCCTTTAACCTCTTTATTCCCAGGAGTGATCAAAAAGAATGTTCTCCTTACATTATCAATACATTATCAAGTGGAAAGATAATAAGAAATGGGAGGGAGGGTATGTGAGGAGAATTGAGATATTGATAGTGAAAGTCCTTAAGTCTGTTTAGCAAACCTTAAATGAGATCTGTGTACACATTGTCATTCCATGGGTGATGACAGGTTCTTGATCTTGGTCTTTTCCATCCCAACAGTCCAATTCTATACAGCGGCATCCAGCCAATAGCGCTTGTCTGTACATTTCTACTGATGATTTCCCAGTCAACTGGTGACCTAAGAAAAAAATTTCAAATTCTCTATGACCTAGAGGCTGGTCCTAATTGTGCAAGGTAGTGATAATAATTCAGGCAAACTAATTTAGGTATTGGTCAGTCTAAACTTGAGCCTAGTGGCCCAACCAGGTGGAGCTAGTCCCAGGTTCCCTGGATGGGATGCAAGTTCATCACAAGGTTGCCCCCCCCCAAGCATTTCATCAGGCTTCCCTCACAATTTTCCAAAGCTCTATGGTCCAAAGTAAAGTGTTTTTGCCCAAGAACACAACACAATAACCTGCATAGGTCTTGAACCCAGACCTCTCCTCCCGCAGTCCACAGCACTAACCATTGGTCACCTGTGCACATCTCCCCTTGTCATTGAAAGGTGCATTCACCAAATTGAACAAAGTAATATCCAAAAGGTGTAAAATGTCAAATAAGTTACTTAGGTTAATTAGCAAGTGAGGGTATATTTCAGAGCAGTTTTTAATCACCTGTTAGATATGTGTTGTGCGATGAATTAATGAAATAATGTGATAGGGGCTGTGTCATGTCTTGATAACATGACAAGCGATCATGGTTGATGATGAAATTGTCATCGCTCATAAGATATCTTGTGAGTCCTTGAACAGAAAAGTGGCCTAAAAAGAGAAAAACATTCCTTCCATTAAACTACAAAATCCTGCCAAAACAGAGAATCAACATGGATGAGCACAAGAAAATGTCATTAGATAGCTTTCAACATAAAGGTACAGTGCATCAAACTGCAACCATTTTCATTCCCTTGGTGACTAAAATAATTTTGCAGCAAAAGAGTAGTGGGAAGTCATTTAAAGTAGTGCCATGTCTTAAGTAGTCATGTAAAAGGCTGTAACATTTTAATTCCAAGGTGGCTGGTCAGACAAAACACCAAAAAAATAAACTACTATTTGAGATCTTTTGGAAGACACTCTAAACTCTATCACCTATACTTCGTTGGATAGGGGAAAAATCTCATTCACAGTGTATGACTAATTAACAAAGGTAAAAAGCTATGAGGGTGCAAAAACTAAGCTATGCAAAAACAAAAGCCATGAACAAAGACAATTAACTACTGTTAGTTATTACTTGTTTGCAATTAATAATTATTGTGTTTGTTTTTCTAAGGCGCTACACTTAGTCTTTCAACAGTGCCAATACTCTAAAGTTTCTGTGAGGCAAACATTTGCATAAATCATTTACAAGGTACTCATGATTCAAAAACTTAATACAAAGTTGAAGGCTACTTGATTATGAATTTGACCAAATGGAAAGTGCTTGAACTACTTTTATTAGTAAAATTCAATTTTCTCAAGCACCAATAATCATTTCAAAATAAAGTGTGCAACTGTCAGATTACTTCCTCTAACAACTTACCCTTCTTTGCAAAGTCTCTATTTGGTTCATATTTGTCAATTATAGCTTGAGCTTTTTCACTTGTGCAATAAGGAAAAAGGATTTCATTTAGGCGAGGGTCTCTTTGTTCATTGTTGAGAAACTCCACAAGTTGGTCCACTGTAAGGTATGGCTTCTTCTTTGCACCACTGAGTCAATAAATGCACATGTAAGTACAGAAACAAGTCTCACTCACACCTTAATCCTTTTCACCTAACATCAGTATGCATATTCTCCATACTGTTCTTCACACATTTCCTAAGGTGCTGACAAGGAGAATTTGTTTAACAATCAAGAGCTTCTTCAGTTAGTGATCCTTTCCTTTATTCCGTGACCTTTATGTGTGATTCAGTGATGTTGTAAGAAGAACTCAGATGCTTGTCAAAGGATTAAGGAGATGTATGCTCAGGAAAACCAATTTTTTTTTTCCCTCTACAATTAAAATGTACTATATGAAACTAAATGACACTGGCTGTGTTTTAGATACTAAAGGGTAGCCTAACCTTGTGAAATTAACCAATTAGCCAATGCTCCCAAACTAGTGAGTGGTTCTAAGCAAATTACATGTATACACAACCATTTTTATCATAAATTTTATTTTATCTCTATTAAACTCCTAATCTACAACAAGAGGCAAAAGTAGCTGGCACATCTCTCTTAGCTGGTGGGTGGTCAACAATCCTCTACTCAACATAACACATAGAAACCTTGCAATTCATCCCTAATAAACTACTTAAAAGTTACCCCTTTTCTCACCGAAAAATGCTGCAAAAACTTTTGCAAGAAATTAGTGATCCTTTGGCTAACACTAGGCAACATTGAAATGGGAGATGTGAGGAGATTGATGAAAGTTAGAGCAAAAACAAAAATTAGTAATTATAATATATTGTGCCAAGGCTTTTGCTTCTCATAGTACATAATGAGATGTTGTAAGAAAGCTGAATAGATGTAAATGCTATTAATAATTCAACTATTATACCAAGGTTTTCAGACTTACATTTCGGCAAAGATTTTGTCAATATCTTTTCTGTCACATAGTCTGCTGTAGAATGTCCAGAATTCTTCAAAACTAAATTTATCAGGGGCAATAGTATCATTCTGAGAGAGAAGCAAAGCAAATGCAAAAAAAAAAAGAACAAAAGAAATTAGATTCAAACAAAAAATTTAGTATAATCATTTATTAGGAAGTATGATTTTTATTATGATAGAAATTGAAAAAAAAAACAGCCACCATTTTCTATGAAAAACTGAAAATTGCTCTAATAGTGAGTTTTACAGCTGCTAAATAATGTGAAGAGACATTAAATTGCAAATCAATGACACAACTCACTTTTCCATGAGGCAAACCCACAGACTGAAGCGTATCCAGCACTCTTTTTTTATCTTCTTTGCTGGAACTCACATATTTTAAAATACTGCAATTTAAAATGAAACGCAGTCAACTTAAACATTCCTAATTTATTTTTTTCTGTATTCTCTTCCCTTGTCCACTTGATACTGTATTCACACGAAGTTTCTCTGACAACTGGCCCTTTGTCTCCTATTGATGTTAACCATTAACTTCCAAGATCTGATTGTTAATTCTCACCTCTAGTTGCTACACATTTCCTTGTCAATTAGTTATGAGAATTTGTTGTTAAATCAAGATAACAACTTCCACCAGATACATTAGTTGAGTATTCTCATTACCTGTTTGCAGGATAGTGCATGGATATTTTAGGGAGAAGTTACTTGTTAATCACTTCTAGGAGTTAAAAGGGTGAAGAAACCTAATATGCAATCACTTTTCCTTTGACTTACTAGTCTAAGAGTGGTAACCGGACATTTTGCACAAAAGACTTTTCGCACAAGTCTTTTAGCACAAGTTTTGGACCGTTCACACAATTCTTAGTGGTCATTTCGCACAATAATCATAAGTGAGAAACAATATAAAAGTTTTACTGATTGATACTGATAAGACATTTCACCTTCACAAGATCCAATGGTGAGAACGTAGACATTTATTTACGTAATACTTCAACTAGATCAAAATGCTCGTGAACACGATCACTATTTTTACTTGAAGAAAGGAAAGGTACAAATCTGTCCTGTATTCACTAGAGCATGCTGCCTACTGTAGAGGGACTTACTTTTTTACAGGGATTTTTCCATCTCCACTTGTTTGGACACATATTTTAGAGTGGCTGTAAATCAAAATGAAATAAAAGAGATAAAAGAAGTATGTGTCAATTTTTAAGTGAAATTTGTTTTGGATGAGCATTGCCCTAAACAAAATATAAAACCAAAACAAAAAATGATAAAAATCCCATAGGAAAAAAATCAAAACTTTTAACGTTTAGTAAATAACTATTACAAATACCATATCGTTGGTCATCAATGCTATTATTACTAACATTTTCATCACTCATAAACACCTTATCGACTGAGTGGGAGGGCTGTGTGGAAATATTTTTGGCTTGAGATCATGGCAGAGAGCCAAATATTTTCCTATTAGGCCTGGCAAAAACCAGTCAACAAGTATTTTATTATATGACCATTGGGCTTCCCTTGTTTTTCTTATTCATTTTAGCTCACATCTGGTGGGGCCATTTTGCTTTTTCAATCCCTACTCATGCCATCGCATTCGGCCATCTTACAGAGAATTTCATCTAATGCTTTTTAATAAAAGCTTTTGCTGGGCCTTAAATGTCAACATTGAATTTTTGCCAAGTTTGTCTGGTACCAACTTGCACTCTTAGGATGAAGAGGGTGGGGAGAATAACCGTGAGATTTAATTTCCTCGTCAATGAAAACAAAACGATAATCTAGCCAAGGTTTAAACCATGTGTTCCACAAATTATATTTACTGACAACTGTCACTCAAAATTACTCTTGAATCAATTTGTGGACTTACAGTTTTTCAAGGAAGGAGATAGGTGAAGCATTTATGGCCAAGAGATTGTGTGTTAAGCAAAACAAAGCATCTGCCCATTCACGTGCAGTGTTCACAGATCCAGGAGCAACAAAGTTCACATAGCAGATATCTACTAAAGTTGACCCATACACAATTGTAATAGTCTTGTCTTGTATGGAGTCTTCTTCCGATCCGCCAATTTTTAAAGAGTCTCGCAAGCTTTTATCCTGTAAATAAAAAATAAAAAAGATTACTCATAGATCCTGGGATTTCATGTTCAAATCTAGACATGAATTATGGTACTATCAATCAAGCAACAAAACTTCATAGCCAATGAGTAACTAACCAGCGACCCTTGGCAAGTAGCAAAAAATTCATTACACCCTAACATCGATATGCATTTTCTTCATACTGTTTTCTATTTACTTCTTTAAGGGGGATGAGTGGGAGAATTTGTTTGGCAGTCATGCAGAAGTTATTTATTTGGTGATCATTTCCTTTACTCTTGCAACCTTTAAATATGAAATTCAGGGGTGATTAGCTAAATTTTATATTTTCAAATATTATCAAACAAAAATGCTTTCACTTCATGATTTAGTAGTGGAATGTTTACGTTAAGTAAACACAGTTCTTTAAACACTCTCTTGATAAAGGTTTGCTGAGCCTATCACATACATGTACTGTACCTATAGGGTAAATCCTGCATGACTTAACATTTGCAGAAAATAAGTGAAAAAAATATATATTATTTTAATTGTAAGTTTGTATTTAATTATTTTCTTAAATTACAACCAACTGAAGGTAAAAATGTAGGTAGCACAAGACTGCGCTCTCAGAGAAATTATGAAATCCAGGGTGCATGCCTAGTGAATGCCTTTTATGAAAAAACTAAGATCCCCCAGTTGCAAATTACAGAAAGGTCCCAAGGGCTACTGAATGCTGCTAGAGCACAGCTGTGTAAGACCTGACAGCTTCCCACGTTGAAAGTGTTTTCATATTGAAAGTGTTTTGGTCCACATTCATTGCAAATATCAGAAAAAAATTTTGGCTACTAAATTTGCTACAAACTTAGAAAACTTGGCAACCAGCATTCTGTGATCATGTTAGTGTTCTCATAAAGTAAGATGGACATTTGAAAGAAAATGATCTACTTTGCCACACAAAATATTATTTTTCAGTCCACCTGCTAAAAATTTTATTTTCTGGTGCTGATAAAATGATTTAAACCCTTCCACTCCCAGGAGTGACTAAATTGACTGAGCATTTTTTCAATACATTATTAATCCATTATCAACCAGACCGGTAATGAGAAGATGGTAAATTATCAACAGGGGGATATTGTTAGACTTAACACCAAATTCTCAATACTACAATAAATTATAAGAAGGGCATTGATGTCAGAGAGGAGAATTGATCACGAGATCTTGGGAGTGACAAGGTTAACCCTTAACCTCCCAAGATCTGATTGTCAATTCTCCCCTCTAGCTGCTACATATTTCCTCGTAAATTATTCATGGGAATTTGTGTTAAATCCAGTTATCAACATCTGTCTGATAAGTCTATATATTTTAGGGAGAATGTACATGTTAAGCACTTCTAGCAGTTTTAACCCTTTCACAAGGATTAAGTTTCCAAATGTTGAAGTTGACAGAAGAGCCTTGCTTGTTCCGCAATGTTCTCAAACTGTGGGTGGTTCTGGTTGGCTTAATCTCTGTCAAAACCATTATGTCTCACAAAGAAATTTCCTGTTTGTAAATTCTTTGCTTTAAGGCAATTACTGACACAATAAACTGATGATAGCAGAATTTGTTTTTTTTCTTCTGATTGTCTTATACTAAAAACAGAACAGTGTCCTGTGGATAAACTAAGAAAAACAAAGACAAAAGAGTTTTGTAAAACCTGACTCCAAAGTTCAGCTATTAGTGGCTAAAACAGTTAAAATGGATATTAGCAAAATTAATTTGCATTCAGTTCAAAACGGAAAAAATTGTAAGTTGATAATTGCAAAAGCCATCTTTTAATCATAAGGGAACTAATGGAGATACTTACTAGTTAATTTTAGAAATAACGTTTGCATGTGCATAAGAAATACCATAAGGTCAATAATCCGATTAGGTTTAGCTTCTATCATCAAGATTAAGGTTTTTGAGAAAAACATGAAATTATTCTGAAAGGTATTTTGACAGATTCCTTTTACATGTTAATTAACACTTCAAAATCCTGAACAACAACATTTCAGAATTAGGTGTCCCTTGGGGCACAAAATTTATAAAACAGTTTCGACAAAAACATGTTTGTAGGATTATGATTGATAAGTAACAGCCAGACTGTTTTCTTTGTTCTTTTGATACATGTATATAGAACTCTCTAGTTGGGATTAAGAATTGTTTTACTCTGAAATAAATTCCAGTGTTTCATTGAAGATAATGTTTTCTATGGATGACTGATCATGTTTAAGACAAACAAAATATTTTGCTTGTGTGCAGTGATAAAGAAAGAGCCCTGCAGTCAGGTTTCTTACTTAGAAGAAATATCAGTTTTGTAAGATGCTGTAAGAAGAGCAACTGAATTCTTGACAGGGTTTGCTTAACTTTAGTTGTGGAGTGTATAGAAATTTATACATTCCACAACTACAAAAACCACAATTGTATTTACATGGTTCACAGTTAACACTTACAATAACAAAGATGTATCTCATACAGCACCCTTTGATTAATTGGTAGAAAAAAAGTCTATGTTGCACTTGAGGTAAAAAAATATAGGCTGAGATTGCTAACAAGTTCAAATCTCTAAAAAATGAGTAGCATTTTACTTTCAAATTTAATTCATTATACATGCTAGGAGGTAAATGTTTCATTAACAAACAGTTAAACTAGTAATATTTTCTAGGATACCATGGTTTGGCTTAGACATGCACTTGTTATGGAGTATAATGATTTGTCTGATGTGGTTGCATCTTTTTAATCACATATTACCAGTGTGGACAGAAATTTAACTTGTTTGAAAAATTCGAAAAAAAAAGTTACCTGTTAGCTTTCTATAATAATTCTAAACCTTTAACCCCCAGGAGTTGCCAGCTGACCCTGGCCTTTATCAAAATAATTTCAAAATAATTAATAATAATAACAATAATAATAATAATAATAAACATTACAATGACAACTTAGCAGTGGACATTCCACTAGCTGGCTGATCTTGTCTCAAATTGGAATTTTGAATGTTGCTTTTGTAGAGAGAGGAAAACTGGAGGACCAGAGAAAAGCCCTTGAAGCAAGGACGACTGAGAACCAACAACAAAATCAAACTTCATGCAGGACCAGGAATACAACCCAGGCCACAGTGGTGGGAGGTGAGCACCCTTGCCACTATACCATCCTGCTTCCGAAAGAAAAATGAAGTGAGACTCCAGCAGAAGTCTTGGTTTTCAGCCCCCACCCAAAGTGGTGGGATGGTGTGTGGTGTTAATCATCACTAGTTTCCATTTTTTACCTTATTAACTTAGAGGATAGAGCAAGTTAAGTTCAGTAGAGCAAAAGCAATATAGTCACTGATTACTTCTAAAGCAGTTTTTGCTAGAGTTTTGTAAATTGAATTTAAGCAATCACAACAGCCAATCACAGCAAACATTGACATCATAAAGAGCCAATAAAACTCCAAGTTAACCCTTCAACTCCCAGGAGTGACCATTAGACAGAATTTCTCCTTACAAAATCAATATGAAGTAAAAAAGAGATGTGATTAGAATAAAGAGAAATATTAGTTGGGCAATTGTTAGTTGATCCAATACCAAATTCTCTGGACTAACATCATAAGAACTGTATGGCGGACAGTAACGAGAATTACTTGTGAGATCTGGGAGTGAAAGAGTTAAGACAGGCAACCTGCTTGTAGCACGGGAAAATGCAGGTGTCCACATCAGGATTGGTGTTAGTTTTGAAACTAATAAGTAAGAGTTTTCTGTACATATCACAAAGCAAGGTTATGCAAACCAAAAGCAATCCTGGATTGCTAATTCAATACCACATCTCCTTGGTATAAGGTTTAAAACTACTTAAACCTATGTCATTGAACTGCCCTGAAATTGGCCAAACATATAATCCAAAAAGCCATATTTGAAGTTACAGGCTATGTTCTTAAAGAAAGTCTAACATCACAGATCTGCCTCCTCACACATGCTTGTAAAAGTTCAAATGAAAAAATTTTATCATTTTAATTCACTGAGAATAATTTAAGTATTACAGCATACAGTACAAAAGAAAATAATAGGAATGGTAGAAGGCTTGCCAAAGTGCTTAGAATAAAAGTAATTTGTAAATTGGAAAATACACTGTCAGAAAATACTCTGGGACTACACAGGTCCTAATAAAGTACACTTTCAAGTAAACTTTCTTGTTGCAAAGGGTTAAAAGATAAGCCAGCATTCATTGCACTGCTTATTAAATATTCGATCTATGCCAACACCAGTACAGAAATATGATTTGAAATATACTTGAAAATTAATTCACATTTCACTAAGAATTGGATGACAGCTTGGAGGGAACTTGTGTGATTCATCTCATGTGTAGCATTTAACTTTTAGCAGGTTTATCTTAGTGCAGTTTGATTTTTGCTTTCTTGTGGCAAGCCTTGAAACCAAGAAAATGAAATATTCATATTTCACAAAAGTCACACCTTAAATCTTCATTTAAAATAAAATGCTTCATTGATCAGAAAAAAAAGATAGAACTTGTAATTAAAACCATTAGTGGTAGCAACCCCTACATGCAATCAAGAACTAGTTTGATATTTTCTAGAATTTTGTTAATAGGATGCCTTTCAGGAATAAGAGCATGTTGCGTCCTTTGAAAATAAAGGTGTCTTCCCTGGGGCTAATGTCATGTAAAAATGGCTCATTACAACTTCTCATTAAGAACAGAACTTTTAAACTGCATAGCCTTTCTTGATGTTCAAAAGATAAACATTTCATGCTGTGAGTGTTATAATAATATTTGTTATCCATGGTTTTCCAAAAATGTAAAGAAACACACGTTTAGCTCAATTTAATGTTCCTTGCCTTTCACAGTAGAACTTGTGCAGATATTTATACAAATATATTTTCTGAAATGTAACCAAATTAAAGGCATTGACGTCCTTTAATATCCCTTAAAATGGAACTAGCAATTTGCATATATATTGGGCAAACAAGATTTAAATATTTTGCTAGACAACAAATAATAAAGCACTTATCTGTAAGGTCAAGCTAGCTGGCCACTTAAAAATCAAAAATTTTTACTGTAACAACCGGAAAAATAAAACTATTTTTAGGTATAAGTTGCTCTGCGATCGTTTCATTGCCTTAGCTGAGGAACACGTTTCATTAATCCAAAATCAAGTCTTCAAACACATTTCAATTAAGCTAAAACTTGCAAATCATGTGGAGTTTTGGAATATTCCAAAAATAATGAGCGGGTTGTTACATTTAATAAAACTATTCGGGCGTAACAGCTTTGAACTTGTAATTTTAACAGTTTCCACCATTTGAAAAGGCTGCAAGAATTATTTTTTGATAGTTCCGTCAAGATCTATTGCTAGGCGACAAAAACAAAGGCCATCCGTAAATAATTAAAAGACTGCCTGTCTGTATTTTGTTTAACACAAAAACCTGGATTCTAGAAACAAACTATATCTTGAGTCAAAACAAAAATTACTCACGACGAAAACATCACATCGGAAAACACAGTTTCCATTTGAAACCGCGTTTATGTTCGACTTAGGCGAACAAAAAGATTTTAATCAATGGATTAAGGTTTTGTATACGCGACAAAAACTACAAAGATTGAAGTGAAACCCTTCTGCGGTAGGGAAATATATGTGCAAACTGCAAAGGCTAAAAATTTGAAATTCTAATGGGCGAATAAAAAGTTGAAATTAGCATTTAAAGAATTTTTTTACAAGTGCAAGGACTCGCGGAAAGATATTGACGTAGACGAACGAGAGAGGAATTATTGTTTATTTACAAAAGTGCTCTGAAGCAGATATTATGAACAGAATTTATTCAGGTCGAGATCTTCCATGGTACATTTCTACACGATATTGAGAAGTTTGTGGAAGTAGAGCGCGTAAAATTTAAATATATCATCGATTCACTACTATACAAATTATTAATAGCTGTAAACGCGAAAATTGCTTGCGTATTTGAATTTAGCAGGGAGTAGTTTAACTAAACCCCACAAACAAACCTTTGGAATTTTCGCCGATTTTCCTGTCCTGATATCCCGAATAGAAGTCAGCTCTAACAGATCGGTCTCCTGTAAAAAATGAAAGACTCAAGTGAACTAAGAGCAAAGTAAACTCTGCATAGCTATAAAGATATCATCATGGCAATAAATTCAGTACTTGTCATAAAAATATCACCTCGAGAACCGCCATTCGGGCGACCCTGCTCGATTTCCGAAAAAAAAATCTGAATAACCAGACGAAAAAGCTGATTGCAACCAGCATGTGCAGACTAGAAATTTTCCTTTACTAAGCTTGTACTCGGGATACCATTGCACATGGTTTATTTAGACCGCTCACCTTATCTTCGGCTCTCCAATAGATTAAATGGGCCGCCGGGTCTACCTTCACCGTACATTGCAGTCCTACCGTAGAGTCCTGTGTGGAAAGAAAAAAGTTCCAAAAATATTTTTTAAAACGGCATCCGTCGGAGGAAGTGAAGTCCCGAGTCAATTCTTTCGACAGCGTCGGCTTCGCAACACAATTCGAGAAGCCTAACTTCCTGTGTAATAGAATGGTGATTTTTCGACCATAAAACACGAAACCAGGCAAGTCCCTAATATGCCGAGGCAGCTGGAAAGGTATCGGCTTAATGTTAGATTACTTATAGTCCTTTTTAATATTTCCCATTGAAATTGGAGATCGAAGGAACAACATTCCAAAATAAACTATAGCGTGACTAATAAAACACAATCTCTTGAACAAAGTAGACATCAAAACCTTTCAGCGCACCTCGTCCCATTTTATGAATCTTGCTCCTCGAATTAAAAAATCTGCGACCTCGGGATGTGTGAGCCTCTCCAGAACGGCTTCACCGCCCGCCATGTTTTTAGCTCAATTCAAAACACTGACGGCTTTAGCCGAATTACTGCAAGGCCAATAGTGCCCTCTGATTGGTCAAGCCGTCAAACGCCAACAATGCAGTTTGCAGAACTTCTAAACTCAGCACACAGACAGGGGTAAAAGCGACAAAATTGCCTAGGATTTCTTCATGTCGCTTCTTTTCTTGGCAATCGCGCCATTCTCCGGGCGATTGTTATTTACAAACAAAAAAAAACAGCACGTTGTTGATGAGAAAACATTTATATGCGATCGACTCTTGGCAGCGCTGGCAATGAACCAAAAACATACATGCTATAAAATATCACCAAGAGTTTGTTTACATTTGAGAAAGATGATTATTATCATCAATATAAAAGGTGGCACTAAAACATTCGACGCCAGTCTCATTTAACCACGAAAATGTACGGCTCAAAGTTTCCCTATCGCCGTTTCTTCTAGGGAAAGTCTAATTTTAAAATGTGTCGCGGAGAACACAAAAGAGCGGATAGTGGCATACAAATATAGCACCCTATTTAAAGGTTAGCAAGTAGAGGAAATTGTTCGAGTTTCGCTGATCCGGCCAAGAGCGTTTAAAATGACTTAAGTTTATACTTTCGTTAAATTTCATTAGAAATTTGATTAAAAATTCAAGTCAGAATGTTGCTGTATTTCAACTGTAATAAGTACGCGCAATAAGTTAAAACGTTGGGAAATAAGTTCTCTTGCTGATATGAGGAACAAAATAGGACGGATGTACTTCCTCCAGTTTCAAGTAGCTCATAGATTAATCACACTCTGAGCCGTTTGTTCCCTAATGAAAAATAACAGCTTTTGTGATAAAGCGTTCTACTCGCACGAGGTTAAAATTGATTTTCTTTTATCGGAACTTAAATACATTTAAGTCATATTTTCTGGTAAAGTGATTCGCCCCTCAGTCACTGGAAATATCGAGAAGGAATACGAAAGATCGTTAATTGGAGTAAAATGGTTTTAAAAACTACATCTATTAGTATATTCATAAGCAGGAAAGATCGTGGGACACATAAATGCTAATTATGAAGAATACCCAGCCACTACATAATTCAAAAGAATAAAAAGAAGAAAGAAACTTGAATCATGGCGGCTCCTGAGAAAAACACCTGCTGGAAAAAAAAAAGAAGAAGAAAAAGATTGGAAACGGCTTATTATCCCCAAACTATTAAAATCTGTATATCAAACAGGCCTCAAACAAAAGTTATCAATAACATCTCTGAGAAATATCACCAAACCACTTATTTGGACAAAAAACTACAAAAATTGTCAAAAAAGTGTCTTGTAATAAGTGATCTTTTTCTTATTACTTATTCAAGGAATAACAGAATGTCAAAAATGATTTTTTCAGCTAACTATTTACACCTGTTATGGCTTACTTCTTGAACTACCAATCCAAATATTCCTCAATAATCATATTTTTAATTTAATCACAAAAACTCATCCCAAAAATATCTCTTAAAATGTTATTTGAATAATCTTTGTTTATTTTCTTCTTCTTTTTCATCTTTTTTCAGGCTATACTTAAACTCAACTTTTGACTGTAAGCAAAGAGAAACAGCTACTGCATTACTTGGCATTGTTCAATTAATTTTTTATTCTGAAATTTTTCAAAACAAAATCATGCACTCAGACATCTTTTATAACTGTAATTTACAGTACAAAAGATTATCCCTCAAGCACAATACATTTTACTTGTCAAAATAAAAGACTATATAATGTTCATATTTAAATGCAAGAGATGGGTGGAAGCTATATTGAATTATTTAATTTCATTCACATGTGGACATATGAAAAACAATTCATTTTTCTTTAAAGCAAGACATATATTCTAACAATAACTGATAACTTAGTTTTCAATGTACTTAGTTTTGAAATGAATAACAAAGACAAAAAATAAAATTTCCATTCCCTCCTGACAATTTAAAGTGTATCTTTTCTCCTTTCACTGAGCTGCAAGACCAAAAATCATTAAAAGGTCACCAGGAGTAAAAAAAAAAAAATGTAATACTCCCTTCTTTGATAATGGAAACCAGGGAAAATAGGAAAATCTTTGTAAAGGAAAACAATAAAACACCAAAAAAATTTTATGAAAATGTTGACCTCAGTTTTACATTAGACCATCAAATCCAACTGATAAAACATTAAGGCTTGCTACAACACCTCAATTGCAATTTGCTGAATAGGCAACTTAGGCTGATAGTCTAATTCCCCAAATTTTATGAAAATGTTGATCTCAGTTTTACATTAGACCATCAAATCCAACTGATAAAAACATTAAGGCTTGCTACAACACCTCAATTGCAATTTGCCAAATAGGCAACTTAGGCTGATAGTCTAGTTCCCCAAATTTTTTTTGTCTAGATGGGTGATTAAAACAGTTGCAGTGAAGAGTGCTGAGTGCTACTTAGGATTACACTGAATAATTCATTTTCTTTCAGATAGTGGTGAAGGAAATTGCATACTTTATCTATGCTGGAAGAAACAGTGACAGATTACAACCAAAATGCATTTCAATAATAGCTTTGATCATTTAAATTTAAATAGAACCCACTTCAAATGAACAAAACATATGTAAGATTATCAAGTCTCTCCATTAACTTCCACACTTAGAAGTTCATTAGGAAGCAGACTCTGGAGATTTCTCCAGCTATTAAGTAGCTTTCTTGAACTTAATGTAAATGACCTGTGTTATTTTTAAATTCAGACATGAAGATTATCCTCCTCATTAATTTATATTAGTATATAATGCACACGAAAATAGTACTTTTTGTGCATGCTGATTGGCCAGTTTGAAAGCGATGAGCAAGTATTACTTAGAGAAGCAAAAAATTTTTCATTTCTATGCAGTAATATTACAACAATTATTGATGGCAACATGTAATCCATAAAAGTAGTCTGATTGTCCATGCAAGAGTAGTCTTGCTGAAGACAAACCCCCTAGGTACAAGTACGAGTGACTGATGTTTTGACAACCTTAGAGCTAAGCTAGACAACCGAAAGAGCTGTTGTAACTCAGGTGTTGTGCATGTTTGTCTTGTTTGTGAAAACTGGTTGGTCAGTTTTCCCTTTTTTTTTTGTTTTTTAAAGAAAATTCTCTAGCTACTGTGCAGAATTCTCTAGCTTAATTTTGATTGCCTGTGTAACTTTTATGTAGCATTTTATCTTTTCAGGCTTCATTGAGATATTCTCACAAGTAACCTCCTCTCATCAGCACCTTGGACCCCCTCTCAGGGTTCCTGATCAAAATTGTCATCACAACCTGTTCTTATCCTTTTAACTCCCATGAGTGACCAAGATAGAACTTCTCCTTACAATATCAGTACAATATAAAGCAGACAAGTAATGAGAATAAAGAAAAATATCAATTAGGGAATTACAAGTTGATCAAATACCAAATTCTTTAAACTAACATCACAAGAACTGTACAGCAGACAGTAAGGAGAATTACTAATGAGATCTTGGTGGTTAAAGCGTTAACGCCAGGCACCTAAACCTGGAGTCATATACAGATATCATGACTTTTTTTAAAAAAGTCTTCTAGGACTGAGAGACAAGTGGACTTATGCCTTCTGTCTGGGAGGGCAGCTGACAACAGTAAATGGGTGGCCACCTCTCTCAAGTGTGGGAAATGCCACGGTCTGAGGATTATTTTGCTAGACTGTTCACCCAGAGGTCTAATTCTAAGACCTGGCTTGGTCATTTTGTTGTGCTCTTGCGCAACACTTTACTCTCACCAGGCCCCTCTCTACTCAGTAGTATAAAAGTGTAGTTGAGAACTCTCAAGGAAACTTTAATCCTTAAATCTGTACGAGTGACTAGTCAGCACTCCTTGTCATCACCTTAAGAAATGTAGAGAGAACAGTGTGGCAAATAATATTATGCATACAGATATTGGGGTGTAAAAGGTTAACCATTTAACTCCCAAGATTTCATTTAGTAATTCTCTTTACTGTCTGCCTTACAATTCTTGTGATGCTAATTTGGAGAATTTGGAATTGTATCAACCAATAATCACTTCATTGATATTTTTCTTTATTCTCATTACTTGTCTGCTTGATATCATACTGATAGTGTAAGGAAAAATTCTGCCTAGATCACTTATGGGACTTAGTGAGTTAAAGGGAAGGGGGGCACAGGGAAAGTAGTGATACTTTTACTCTCTTCATGTTTCAAGAAGTGGATAAGGTGCAGACTTGACCTCTTTTTGTTTATCTTTAATGATGACACCAAACGAGTTACAAGACTCCTTAGGTGATATACTTCACCCTTTGCATCCTAACATCAGTATGCATATTCTCCATACTGTTCTTCCCACATTTCTTAACATGCTGACAAGGAGAATTTGTTTAAAAATCAAGAGCTTCTTAAGTTGGTGATTATTTCCTTCAATCTCATTACGTTAATGTGTGATTCAGGGGTGATGATGTAAGGAGAAATTGGGTGTTAATCACCTAGAAGTCAAGGGGTTACAAACAAATTTTGTCCCTGTTTGATTTCTTCAGTCATCTTTTTCTTAATAGAGGGATGTAACAAGAGGTTACACAGCATGCCAAATTTACACCTTTTATGGTCTAAACTCTCATTTAAGATTGGGCTGAAAGATTTAAAAAAGTTTATAAAGGAATTTTCTATTGATTATTTTAAAGACAACCACAATTCATGCAAGAAAATGTGTAAAGTAATTTTCAAAAGCCCATAAATTTCCAAATATTTTCTGGGTGACAATGCACCAGACCCTTGTGCTTTTAATGCTCAAATTATAAGGGTTTTGATAAAATCCAGTTATCAGCCAATTACAACTACGTATACAATCCCTTCCCCATCTGTTGAGCCTGCATTTAGGCTCTCCTGATTTTTAGGCACATCATCAGTTGTTTATGGAAAAAGGTTTATTAAAAAAAAAAAAATTCCACAAATCATTTCAGTTACAGTGAAAGCGGTGACCTACAAACTTAAAAAGGTTGCTAGAATCAAATTTTGGGTGCCAGAAGAAATTGTAAGACACTTTCCTCCAGAGATTTATGCAACATCTCAAGGCCTGAAGGAGCTAGTTCATGACTCCAGCAAGTGCACTAGGAATAGAAAAACTGGTGAAAACAGCATGCTGTTGTTTTTTTGATGAGTTGGCAGCTGCTGTAGAGTCTCATACGGTCCATTCAATCCTATGATATTGCAGCTATCAAAAGAACTTAGATTTAACTCACATCAATGATATTTATTGGGTGTTTTTTTTTTCTACAGTGACTTAATTTCAACTGATACCTCAATTCTTTGGTTTAATGTCTCTTAGTCTGTTCAATTGCAACCAAAACAATTGCAGCTTGGAGCACTGAATAAGCCACAAGAAGGGTGAATCCATCAACATGGGAGAATGTAACCCAATGTTATTGCAATCCAATCCACATTCATTCACAACTTTTGCAAATGAAGAATTTCTGCAAACTTACATCTAAATGCCTCATTCTTAAATATACATCTGTAGTTTTCCATCTCCACTGAAAATTCCTGAACATGTGCTGCCTTGCAGACTTAAAAATCACACCTCCATGTAAAATACAATGTGTCAGAAAAAACCATTTTCACAGTTACTGTTACCATAGGTAAGTTCATAAGAATCTTGTGTTCTCCACACCCAGAATTCCAACGTCTTGAAATGATCTTGTACTTCCTTGTTCTCCCAATTCCAATTCACATCATTGAATTGCCTTTAACACATAAACTGAATGTGTTCTGCAGCATTTCATAAACAATTACCATGCTATTCCAGTTTCTTATGGTTGTTTAAAAAAGTCTTATTTAGCAAACAGAAAAAGTGTACCCACAGTTGGTTACGACACAAGCTTCTAGAAAATCCCAAATCACATAAAACTCTGTTATGTTGTCAATAAATCACCATCTTTTGTATCTTCAAGGTTTGTTGTTGTAAGTAATGCTTCCTTCTGCAATCTAACTTTGTCCATCCATGGTTTACAGATTTGAAAGCTTGCAGCAGTTAGGACCAGAACACCACCCCTGGGAAAGCATGTAAATGATAGTTTAGTAATAAAATTAAGCCTATTAAGAATCAGTAACTGATTTAACACCCTAACATCAGTATGCATATTCTCCATACTGTTCTTTATACATATCCTAAGGTGCTGACAACGAGAATTTGTGTGCTGATCAAAAGCATATTTTGTTGGGTATCATTTCCTTGAAATTTTCATGACCTTAGTGTGTGATTCAGGGTGATATTGTAAGGAGAAACTAGATGCTAGTCAAATGATGTTACTGAGGGTTTCAAATTTAATATTTTTCTGGGTGAGCATGACCCCTGACCCCTCTAGAAGGGTGCATTGCTTTGCAACATACCTTGCTTGCTATGCAAGCATAAATCAATTTATCTACCTACTTGGTTCACATCATTCATCTACTGTACTTGCTACAAATAACCTTTTTTCCCAAGAGAACAATTAAAATCATTTTTTGGGTGATATAATCTTTATCAAGCCACCAAAGGAGATTTTAGTAGGAAGATGGTATGGCCAGATTTGAATTTTTCATTGCAGCTTCATTGGGTTAACACCATACCCAGGTGTCCCTCGAGGGACAAAGAGGATTCAGTCAGTGCTGCTAAGACAAGATTTATGTTCTTACTAATAAATTTAGGACTGATACATGGTAAGTTTCACACTGGCTGCTCAGATTTGTATTAAATCAAATATTTCACTCCTGGAAGGGATTCACTTGCAATCTCTCCTTATCCACCATAAAATTAACCCTTTAGCTTGCAAGATCAGATTGTTAATTCTCCCCTCTTGCTCCTACACATTTCTTGCTTGTTAGTTACAATAATTTATTGTTAGACCAAGATAACACCTTTGAACTGATAAGTTTGAGTATTCTTATTACCTGTTTGCTGAATAATATATAGATATTATAGGGAGAAGTTACATTTCAATCACTCCTAAGAGTTAAAAGGTTAATGTGAGTCAACAAATCTGTCAGACTGCAGAGGTCTCAAGCCTCATGTATTGAGCAGGAGACTCATGCAAACAATTTCCAATCTAATGCTACTATGCTGAAACTGTTATTTCACACATAATTCTCAGGTATATGACTTAAACTGTTGATTTTGAGATAAAAACTGTTGCTTTAGTGAAGTACTTATAAAAATCAATCATCTTTCTTGATACAATATACTCCTTGTTCCCTTTGAAATTGCTTTGAATTCTTTCTAACAGTGGAAATTCTTCTGCTGAGCCTCTGTTACACTGGTATGTGACAGCAGACCAGTAAGATGTACTCTCTCCACTATTGCTCAGAATAGAGGAAAACACCTCTTAGCTAAACTTCCTCTCCCTGTCCCCACCCCCAGAGAGGTGAAACCCGCGGTATCACAATTGAAGGCTTCACGGGCAAAAATCTCACTCTTTTGCAGCAAAACAACTTGAGAGCTCTGAGCCTGTGTATATGCTTGGGTAATACCCACGTGCATGATCTGGGGTGGCCAGATGTTGAGAACTCCAGGGTCAACTGAAGTCATTCCCAGATCAATTCAAGCCAACAAAAAAGCAATCAATGCTAAGTGTTTTCGTCTATTCGCTTTGTGGCGACACCATAGAAAATAATTACGTACACCAATTTCTGAACAGATGATTTACTTTTAAAATTACTGTAGAATACGACTGAAAAATCGCAAATTACTTACACCAGACGAAATCTCATACGCCAAAAGTTAACGAAAATAGGATTCAACTCTTGCTATTAAGATTAAAACTATAGGAATTTTAGAATTTGGATGAATTTGCCGAACTGTAAAAAGTCATAGTCTGTAAGGATGGCAATAAGAAAAGCGTTTGCTTCCCCTTATAAATGGGGAAGTTTCTTCCATATATACGTCATAAAACGGACTTACCAGACTCCGCAAAATATCGTCACAAATCGAACTCTCCGTCGCATGTAAGGATCCAAACTTCTAACTTCATCCTTCAGGTCCATTTTCGCTGGATAATCAGATAGTGCAGATCGTCACCAGTCGCTCGCCTTCCAAACGAAGTCACGTGATCGCTAATGTTTTTCTTTCAACCCCAGATAACCTACCTACTAACCTCCATTGCAACATGGCTGCAGTTCAAGCAGAGGTCGTTACCAAAGAAGTCTTCGATTTGTATAGAAAATACGGAGATCAAGATTACATCGGTGAGCCAGTATCTCAAAAAGAACATATGATTCAGTGTGCCATGCTTGCCGAAAAGGAAGGGTATTCGGACGAGGTAGTGTTAGGGGTTTTCCTTCACGATATTGGTCATCTGATCGGCTTCCACAAAGCTCTTCCTTGCATGGGAGACGTTGGAACTCAAGCTCACGAAATCGTCGGGGAACAGTTTCTGAAAGATCTCGGATTCCCAGCCAGTGTGACAAGTTTTGTTCGGGGTCATGTTGACGCCAAAAGATATCTCGTCTACAAATACCCACATTATCACTCTGAGGTACAAAATCAGATGGTCTATTTTAGACCGTGCTTGGCAGTCAGAAATATTCATCGAATTCTTGCAGAAATTTCCTATAAACTTATTGAGTATGTTCAATGTTTATTTAGAAATGCTAAGCGACTTTAAGAATTATTTACGGGTTCTTAATGGGCAAATATTCCGAACTTGTGCATGCCCTAAAATCGTTCAGTCGTCGACCCTTAGAAATTCTACGCTCCTGAACAGAAAACGGTCTCAAGTTGAAACAATGTTTCCATTAAAAAACCCAAAAATAACTTTAAAAGATCCTTTCAGTGGAAATCCTGCAAAAATTTTAGACTGCACGGCATGTAGTCCATTTACGACCCAGTCTCTGCTGCCGTAGTTTTGTTCGTCACGCAATAAGCCCTCTCTCCCCTCCCTGGTGGGGGAGAGAGCGCGCTGTGTGACGAGACCAAACGGTGGTGCTGCGGAAAAGTCTACCTCCGTCTTGTATTTAAAGGATTATCTCCATATTCTGTTCATCAGCTGTCCGAGGCAAGTAAACTCACGCTGATCTATCAAGGAGGACCAATGAAAGCAGACGAAGCTCAGAAGTTTGAGGAGCTGAAACATTTTGAGGCTTTGATCAAGATGAGAAATTGGGACGATCTTGGCAAAGTAAAAGGCGCACCCATTGACTCACTTGATAAATATGAGAAGATGTGTAAAAAGCTCTTGGGAACAGTTTTCATTGAATAATCGATAATAAATCATTACTTAATTTTGAGGAGGTACGTACCATTTTCCCGAAACTTTGTCTAATACTGATCTTTATATACGTGACAACAAAGTCGATACAATCGGGAAGGAGCGTTTCTATGGTTTTTACACGAAAATTATTGAAACAAATCCCTCGCGAAAAAGATTTTCCATTGGGTTGAAAATGTTATAAAACGATTGGTTCATAAGTCAGCTGTGCGTTCATCGAGATATGAAGCACGCGGGAAGTTTGGAGAGCACGAAAGATGCGTAAGAGTTGCTCGAGGCGTAGCCGAGAGCAACTCTAGCTTCTTGAGTGCTCTCCAAACTTCCCAAGTGCTTCATATCTCGATGAACGCACGCTGACGCATGAACCAATTGTTAAAGGGAAACAGTATTGAGCCAAAAGAATCAATGGATCATTATTTGTTGCGCAAAAGTTACAAAATTTTTGTTGAATGAATTTTAAAAAGATATTGCTAACAGCAATAACAATACCAAGGATAATAATGGTATTATTGTCATGTAATATATTTTTTGATATAAAATAAAAATATTAAGATATTAATTAAATCATGCATGGCTGCGTTTCATGTCACTCAAAAGTTATCAAATGTGTGTCAAAGAGATCTAGGAAAAAAACATATTTGAAGTGCAAAATAAAAAAGATTAGATAGAAAAGATATTACATAGCCTATTATATGAAAATAAATACTCAATAAAACGCTTATACATTTAGGAACTTTCGCGAACCCTAACTGTTACGTAATGGTGTGAACCGTGTGACAGTAGCGTGACATAGCAAAATGGCTTCCAACAGTACGCGGTGGGGCATAATGGGCGCTAGTCGAATTGCTCACGATTTCATGGTGGCATTAAAAACATTACCAGAAATCGAACACACAGTAGTTGCAGTATCCTCTCGTTCCCTAGAGAGAGCAACTGAATTTGCAGTGAGACATAAAATCGCAAAAGCATACGGTTCTTACAAGGAACTCGCGGAAGACGAAGATGTGGAGGTTGTTTATGTCGGTACTATCCATCCAGAGCATGCACTGCTTTGTAAACTGGCACTTAGTCACGGAAAGCATGTCCTTTGTGAAAAACCCATTACCCTGAATCTTAAGAACACCAAGGAATTGTTTGATCTGGCGAAGGTGAAAGGACTTTTCATTATGGAGGTGAGTCACAGGAGGATTGGGGTGACGCGGTCAGGGATGGGGAATGTCTTTTTCCCTCCGACAGCTATCGAAAATTGTGAAAAAATTATATATTTCTGATAAAATTATTTACAGCTAGAAGTATGAGTCAGTTTCGCTGATGATCATCCAACATCAGGGTTTTCTAATCAAATGTTTTCTCTAAAAATGACTATTTAAATTTCACGTGGTTTAATTCAAATGAATCAGCAAGATCATTAGTTGTTTACTGATCGGGGATCAAGGGATTGCAAGCTTGGACGCTCCACTAAAAGCCAAAAGCCTTCTTTGGTTATTAATTATGACAACTGTGATGGTACCCCTGTGATGCCTATTATAACCCACAAAAAATTTATTTTTCCAGGCACTATGGACAAGATTTTTTCCACTTTATGCGGAAGTTAAGAACCTGGTAGACTCAAACATTCTCGGAGAGATTCGAGTTGCTATGGTTTCTTTTGGAATAAGCGCAGATCATGTAGAACGCTTACAAGACCCTGCCATGGGTGGAGGTGCACTTCTGGACGTAGGAATATATTGTTTGAATATTGTTGATATGATATTTGGTGGTCAAGAACCTACAAGTATATCTGCCATGGGTCAGAAAACACCAGCTGGTGTAGATTCGACGGTAACAATAACAATGCTTTATGCAGAAAACAGAACAGCTTCATTAACCATAAGCATGGGTAAGTACTGTCAGCCAAAAACATAGGGCTGAGTTGTTCAAAGCTGGGTTAAGATAACCCCAGGGTTATTGTGAAGTTTTTTTTCAGATCTAAAAAGCCTTAAAAGGAAATTTAGTAGGATTCTTTTCGTTTACAATCTGATAATTGGATGCCCCACAAAGAATACTTAGGTAAAATTATCCCAAATAGGCTTTTGAACAAAGGAAAAAAGAAACCCATATTATATTTTATCCATGGGTTAGCGCTAATCAGCCTTCAAACAACTGAGCCCAGTCAAAAAAGATCACATATATGCAGCTATCTTGTTCCTGGATAGTCTGAGAGAAAGTCCGAAATTGATTATGTAATGAAATCAAATGAAAAGTTATAACTTTGGCACAAAATCCATGTTTCCCTTTTTTACTCACTAACATCAGTATGCCAGTAGGACCTGATAAAGAGAATTTGTTAAACAATCAAGGGTCTCTTAAGATGGTGGTCATTTCCTTTAATCTTGTGACCTTAATATTTGATTAAGTGGTTATATTGTAAGAAGACATTAGATGCTAGTCATTCTTAGGAGTAAAAACATCAGGGAAAGCAAAAGTTGTGAATTCATCCTGGGGTATGTTTAAACTGTTTGGATTGTCTATAGCAGTCAATGGATAACAGACGACTGGCATTCAGTTGATCGTAGCATATTTGTTTATGTGATTTTCAGCTGCTCAGCTTCCAAATGAAGCTGTATTTGCAGGATCACAGGGATCACTTACAATTCATTCACCATTCCATTGTGCAACCAAATTTACATCACCAGCTGGAACAAAAGAATACCCTCTACCAAAGCCCAGTATGCCTTTGAACTTCGTGAATTCTACAGGAATGAGGTGAGCTGAGTAAGCCCTGTCACTATAAAGAGTTTCTTAACCCTTAGGTCCCACTAGTGACCAATACAGAAATTCTCCTTACAATATCAATACAATATCATGCAGGTAGGTGATGAGAAAAAGAAAAATATTAATGATGGGATTATTAGTTGATCTAATACCAAATTCTCTAAACTAACATCATAAGAATTGTGTGGCAGACAGTAAGGAGAATTACTAATGAGATCTTGGGAGTGAGAGGGTTAAGGTGATGTATCAAGTATCAGCCCTTCATCTTTCACTCCGATGAAGGGCTTACACTCTAAACATCAGCTTCTTTAGAAATTTACCTGCTATCCTCTTGGGAACAACATTCTCACTTTCAAAGACAAGAGACAGGTGATATTGATTAATTACCCAATTACCATACAGGTGGAAAAGTTGTAGTTTTCAAAGATCTAGATTATAAAATGATTTCTGCTAGCTGGAACTGTATTTTATTTTGTGTAAAGAGTACGGTAGTGTACTCAGACCAAAGGGAAAAACATATTAAGCTAGTTCACCCTTCAACCCCCATAAGTGACAGACAGAATATCTCCTTACAATATCAACAAGATAAGTAATGAGAATAAAAAAAATATCAATTTGGGAATAAGTTGATCCAATACTAAATTCTCCGAACTAACATCATAAGAAATGTATGGTTGACAGTAAAGAGAATAACAGATTTGATCTGGGAGTTAAAGGGTTAAAATCAATTTGACCTGAAATTATCTATAAACCACGACAAAGATATATAAGTCAGAAGTGTCAACATGAACAGCACACTTGAAGTACAACTACTGTCTTTTCTACTTCTTCTTGCACTTCTAGATATGAAATTGAAGCCGTCAGAAAAAGTTTATTGTCTTCTGAAACACAGAACTCCACCATGCCCTGGAGTACAACTGAAAGAATTTTTCGTTGGATGGATGAGATTCGCCGACAACTTGGAGTTGTTTACAAAGAAGACATTTAGAAGGACCTTTTGGGTTTCCTTGGAAACAAGAATCCTCTGTACCCACCCACCCCTCCCCCTAGCCAAAAACAATTATACTTAACCGTTTAACTCCATGAGCAACCAAGACAGAATTTCTCCTTACAGTATTAATACAATATCAAGTAGACAAATGAAGAGAATAAAGAAAAATATCAATGACGGGGTTACTTGTTGATTCGTTATCAAATTCTTCCATCTAACATCATAATAATTGTATGACAGAAAGTAAGGAGAACTACTGACAAGATCTTGGGGATGAAAAGGTTAAACAACTAGCCATCGCTGTCCAGGCAAAATAACCATAAAAACAGACCCCATTCCACTAGGACACATGATTTTTCTCTAAAGCAGAAGCTTTATTCAAATGAGTTTGTTTTCTTACAATGAAATTCAGTATCAGCATCTTCTCTTGATAATAAATCTTTTACTAATAATCAAAGAACTACTGACAATAACTTCTCTCACACATCAGACCTGTAACTAAATCACCAGAGGTTGACTTTGAGCAACATGCTGCAAGATTAAGTGTTGCCGCAATGACAAAGATTTTCACAAAAATTATCTGCCTCAAATGAACCAAATTGTTCCTGTAACTGGATCATTCATGTAAGCATTTCAATCACTATTGTTTTACAGAAAGGGTTACATGTCAATTACAAAACTTTCCCAGACCAATAAATTAATCCTTTAACTCCCATGAGTGACCAAGACAGAAGTTCTCCATACAATATCAATGCAATATCAATCAGATAAGAGATGAGAATAAAGAAAAATATCAATTTGGGGATAATTAGTTGATCCAATACTAAATTCTCTGAACAAACATTATAAGAATTGTATGGTTAAAAGTAGGGAGAATTGAAAATTTGATCTGGGAGTTAAAGGGTTAAGTAACAAAAAACTCAGGGCTCAGACTTAAGTTGCAAACTGCAGATCAACCTCTTACTGTAAACTACACAAAACATTTATAATAATTAGCTCTCAACTCCCATGAGTGACCAAGACAGAATTTCTCCTTACAATATCCATACAATATCAAGCAGACAAGTGATGAGAGTAAAGAAAAACATCAGTCAGGGGATTATAAGTTGATCACATACCAAATTCTCCAAACTAACATCACAAGAACTGTGTGGCACACTGTTAGGAGAATTGCTACCAAGATTTTGGGAGTCACAGGGTTAACTCACAGTTAATAGCATGGAACTGCCAATCTACCTGACTATTGCTTATCCTAAAAAAAAAACCTGTCAGCTTTTTTGTTTTTCATCATTTAAAATAGCTTTAAATATTACATAACAATCAATATGTACTACAGGTTAAACGATGACCTCCTTCTATATGACAAATATACACGTCAACAAAATGCAGACATCTGGTAAATTATTATGTATATTAACAGTAGAAAGATGCAACACAGCACCAACAGTTGTTTTTATATACAATTAACTACATAGGGCACATTTGTAAAATCATAGTAAATAAGTTCTTTCAAAATACTACCAAATAAAATTTTGTTGATAAATCAGATAAAGCCATGGCCACAAATGGGTACAAATTTCATTCTAAAAAGTTGGACTAGTGAGGTTAAGCATACATTTAGGGAAAAAAACCAATAGTAAAAACCAGAACTCCTTTACATCTCCACACAGCCAATAATAGCCAGTGATCTAACAACAAATTCTTGTGGCTAATTCACAAGGAAATGTGTAGCAGCTAGAAGGGAGAATTAACAATCAGATCTTGGGAGTGAAAGGGTTTAGGATTTATTAATAAATGAGAAAAATCAGGTGGTATTTTTGCTGTTTTTTGTACATTTAAACTTCCTGCTTAAATTCACTAACGGAACATCTCTATCAAGGAGAAAGTTAGAGTTATCATTGAAACCACAATAAATTTGTATCCAAAAGTGGTTAGGCAATTTTTTCATGTTTTTTATGAGATATTTGATGTTTATAAATAGATTGATGTAGATATTAATAAAATGGTCCGATCGAGAAGAGATTGCTCGAACACATTTAAAAGGCATCTGATGCAGTGATTTGAAGGCAGAAATTCCATTTTAGCCTTAGTCGCATTTTTTCATGTCTAAAAAAGTCAAATTTACCTTAAGTAATACTGCCTCAATGAAAAGCACAAAATTGATACCCTTTTGACATAGTGTTCACAACACGCCATCTTCTCATGTAAAGATAAGACATCTTATTCACAGCAGTTAGTGACAATCTAACCACAAGGAAACAGGAAAATATCTTTACATTTCAGGCTCTACCTCTATGTTTTTCAATACAAGCTAACCCACACAGGGCCATAGGGGTCATATGGTAATATAATTTACTAAGTTTTCACTGATATTTACTCATTGAACAGTGAAGCTTTAATTTGGATTTTTGTTTAAAATCAATTACTATATCAAAATATGTAATACCTAATTTTATTAATTTCCACACTTATATGGAACTTTTAATGTAAATCATTGCTATCTCATTTTTATATTAGTATTTTTTTTCCTTTTTCCAATATGTTTTGTATAAAGTTACAGAGCCTTTACAACTAAGCAACACCAAGTTTTTCTAAGTGCCAGATATCCCATACATCTCATGTCCAAGTTCACTTTTCACACAGTATGTACACGTACATCTGAAGAAGCAGAGCTTTCTCAATTTCTTTTTCCAAACACAATAATGAATTAAAATAGTCTAAAAACTACACCACAATTCCCAAACGCCTCGACTATGAATTAAGTTGGAGATAAAGCTTACTTTGCATGAAGAGGACATGACACTCACTTGCTACATTGTTGTAAAGTACACTGATGAATAAATTAAAATAACTTGTCTTGACAACTTTTTAACCCTTTTAAAATAATTGAAATAAGTAAGCACATGACAGACATGGTGCACTGAAGATCAAACTGATATTGAGCACGAAAACTTTACCCACTGTATCAGGAATTTTAATATCAAAGTGACATGGCCTGTTTTCATGATGAGGTAGGTGAGGTAACCTACCAAGGTGAGGAAACCTGCCTAGGTGGGCCACCCCACCCAAGTTGCCCATGTCTGGTAGGAAAGCTAACCCTATCAGCTAGGATCCCAATTTGCCATGCAAATGTCTCCAGGTGGGGTAACTGCCTAGCTATGCACCAACAGCCTCTAGAAACCACCTTGAGATTCCAGGGTTGAAAGATTACCTGCATATGTAGACACGGGCTATTTTCTGACCACAGCTGGGCAGGTTACCTCACCTACCTGGGGTTCCCAACCTTTAATTCTAAAAACAACCCAAAAGATAAAGTATATTCTGACTATTACATACTCCATTCCACTGTTTCAGTTAAAGTTGAAAACAACCATCTGATGCTTACTTCCTGGGAGAAAATATCAAGTAGACTTATCCATAATAACACGGGTATATATGTGCAATACCAATACAGCATTAACCTCCTTCATCTAAGCATTTTTAACGTAAATTGATTCCAGTTTAAGAGCTCCATAACCAATAAAATATCATGTTCTTCTTACTTATAAATATCACTCTGTTTTGAACTAAGATTGAAACAGGGAAAACTGTCTGCTTGCCTGCCCTGAGGTAAATTTTTTTAATATTATATACATTACAAACTAAGGTTTGTTCAATACTGACCTGCAGTATTAACTTATATACAAAAGGTTAAAGTTACTGTTAAGGTTCCACTTCAGTGTGTTGGTAAAACAGTCTGGAATGCCGTGTGGATAGCTTTCCTAGACTTCTCACCATTTGTCTTGATTTCGTCCATGTTTTCTGACACAACCTAGAGAGATAAAAAAAAGTGTTTTTTCAATTTACATAAAGAAAGAAATTAACAGTAATAAATTATTGTCACAATGAGACCTTCCCATTGAAGACACAATCACATCACAACTGAGCTGAAGACCATTAACTCACAGGTAGATGACGAGTTTTGCACCCTGCTCTAATCAGCAGTGTTTGAAGTATCATGTGTACAAATAAATGGATAAAAAGATGGTAAATTTTGACCCAGATGGTTTAATGTTTTCTTTGTTTCAGACTTGAATAGAGTTTATAGGTGTTTATCATTTAACCAAAAGATCTGTAATTTTGGGTGGAAAACTTCTGAGGAAAAGGTTAGTTTTGCAGAAAATACACATTTTCCACAAAATCATTTTCTACAAAAATCCACGGTTTTCAGAGTTTTAACTGATGGTACAAAGAATTAAAAAATCATTTCCCTACTTTCTGAAATTCAACTTCCAAGTTCTTCCTCTCCTCTTTATGCTGGTTTTTTAGTTCTTCAAGTTCTCTTTCTTGTCTCTTTGACAACTAGAAAGGAGAACAGATTTAGATATACTGTAAGTTTTAGGTCAAGCCTATATACGCAAGAGATATACTGTTAAATTTTCCCATAACTTTTTTTGTGTCTCTGTTTCTTTCACATTCTTTTGATACATAACTATTTACAATACACTGTGTGTCTGTTCCCTGGGGGAAGTAGTTCATTTTCCCTGGGGGAAGTAGTTCATTTTCCCTGGGGGAAAAGTTCATTCCCCATGAGTCTCAATGTTTCACTTAAGAAAGCATAAATAATGTTAGAAAACCCAAACTAACTGTTTCCCTTGGGAACACGCATTGAGGGTAAATTGTTTAACTTACCCTTTGCCTTTCATCCACAAACTGTTTGAGGTTTTGCTTGTCTAGCTCTCTCTGTCTCCTGAGAAAAGGAAACAAGGTAAGTCTTTACTACAAAATAAATGCCCCAAGACAGGATATTATGTTCTTGCCATCTTAATACTGCCCATGGCATGTTTATGGCAATAAACTATTAACACCCAGACTGAAAAAGTGACAGGGGAGAGTTTAGAGATAGGAGGATGAAGATTTTTCTTTCCTCCATCTTGTTTAAATGTTTCACTTTGCAGGGTGATGAAGTTCATTAATTAGACTGCCTGGAGAAATTTTAATTGAGGTAGTTCAAAGATAGCACTCCATATCCTACCATTGTAAGTATGTAACCTGAAGTGCCCGCTGTGCTTTACCAAAGTGATTTAAGTGCCTGTTGTGTTTTATCAAGTGATTTCTGGCCAAATCCAGCTGACAATCACTACTTTTCATCCAGTGAATTTTGTCAGCAACCCCGAAATTGGCCCTGGAAAGCCACATTAGGGGAGTGGTTGATGAAAATTTATTATAATATAAGCTCGATGTTACTATAATAATCAATATGTCTCCCACTCTTAATAGCAGTCTGGTTTGATAATAACTAAAGGAAAATTAATCATACTAATACCTGTCCCTTTCCTCTTTAGATTGGATATTTTTGTCCTGTGCCAGGGCTTTGGCAGATTCCATTGACTGCTTTGTCTGTTTCTTTGTTATCTCACTGTTTTCCCTATAAAAAGAAAACAAACATACAAAAAAAAACAAAACTAAAGATATGCACCTTTAAAGGAAGTTCCCTCACAAATTCCAGTCAGATGTTGATATGACAATATGTACTTCTGTGCCTTTGTTTGATGAAAGTTTTAAAAATTCTACAAATACTTACTTTTCATGTCTTGCCATAACTTCTTTTACTTGAGTTTCATGGACAGAATCCATCACTTTCTTCAATGTCTCAAGTTGCTGTAAAAATAATTTAATTTAATTTTCTCTGGAAAAGATTAAAACTTAACTTCACTGCAGTTGTGAGAAAGAAATAAATGTAATATTAATGATTCAGTTGTTCTAGACTCTTAAACATTCAACCAGTTCACACAAATAGCTCAAACTGACAGGAGGGTATTGAGTCCATGACCCATCCCTCCTAGTGTGGTAATAGCATTGAAATCATCCATATGAGGGTTTCAATCGATGGTTGCCACTCCCACTAACTACTCCCCCCCACCCCCCAGCTGAGGCAAGAGAGGTAGGGAGGAGGGGTGCGTGGAAAAAAACTGGGTTCCCAAACTATGACTGGTTTGCCATTGGGTCTTAGAATTGATTAAAGGTGCTAATTTTTCATGCATATGCCATTATACAAGTTGAATACAATATCACTTCTCGAGATATTTTGCTGTAATTACATTTGGTAATTAGAAATTGGTTGAAGGATTTCAGAACTGTTCTCTGGAATGATATGATGTGACGACTCATCAAGAAAAGCTTCAAAAGCAAATTATTCGTACCATATCTGCTTGTGGTTCATAGAGGGCAATCTCTTCCTCAACTTGTCTGTTAATCATGTTTATCCACTCCTCTGTCTGGGCAGTTAATTTTTGCTTTGCCTGAAAGTTATTAATAATAAACATCAATGATTCTGTTCACTGTCATAACGATACTATGAAAAAACACTTTTGTTTGTTTATGCTCTTCACTTAGTACAGATTCTATTTGATACCATTATTTAGTGTAGCTCTACAGGTAAGCAAGTTGGTCAGCCTATACATTCATTCACAGATAAAACAGTCTCATCAGATTTCAGTCTATCTGTCTATCTTTCTGTCTGTCTATCTAACTCTCTATCCGTCTGTCTAGCTGCCTTCCTGTCTGCCTTTCTGCCTGTCTCTATCTCTCTGTGTCTGTCATCTGTCTGTCAGTCTGTATGTCTGTCAGTCTGTATGTCTGTCAGTGTGTCTGTCAGTCTGTCAGTCAGTCTGTCTGTCTGTCTGTTGCAATCTGTCTTTCTGTCTATTTATCCCACTATCTTTCCATCCTAGTTTATAGTCTAGTGCTGTCACACTTCAGTTTTCTATTAATGCACCACCCTTGACTTAGATGTTTCTAACAACCTATAATTATTAATCAGGTTTGTATACATGACTGTTATCTAATAACTTATCAATATCAAGTATTTCCTTTACCATGTCAGTTTGAGTCTTGTTCAGATAAAGCATCTTGTTCTCATGAACTCTTCTCAGCTCCTCTGACCTTTCTTCTCTGCAAAAATAATTATAATAATAATAATAATAATAATTGTAGTGATAGATTTAAAATGTACACAATTTTAAAAGCTGTTTAAAAATAAGATATGTAGTTTTCTCTGCACCACTATTCAGTATAATGTTGCTCCCTTACTTAATTATCCACATCGATGTTACTTACCCACATCGTTTGAGTGCTCGCTCATGTGTTTTTATGGCAGTCACTTTAATCTTTTCATAGTTTGTTATGAGCTTTTCAAGTTCTCCTGTGTGAATCCTTTGCATGGCTGTACGCTCCTACAAGGTAAGAAGTTAATTAATCATCACCATCACCAATCCCCTTTGGCTTTCTTTCATTCAATGCCTTATTTTCACCCAAAACAATCTTTCCTAATTCCTCAAAAATTTCCAAATAATTAAGCATTTGTCTACTTGTCCACACAAATGGTCCCCCCTCCCCCAATTAATCATCTGTTTTTAAGTCCACCTCTTTGCCACTTGTCACTTCTCTGGCTCAAATAACATTGAATAAGTCAATCCATGCAGCAACCATTTATAACAAAGATTGAAGAACCAGCCAGGGTACATTTTTCGTGCTTTTAAAAAGTTTCTTTTCACTTTTTTTTCCAACAGGTTGTTTGTCACTCACCTTGGTGTATTTTTTTGCAAGAGTTTCATTTTCCTTTTGATGTCTTTTGAAAACCTTGAGAAATGTCTAGAAAGTTATAAAAAGCACAAACCCATCATTATACATGCATATCAAATATCAGAGCATCCATTCACTGTTTCTCCTGAACTTGTTAGACCTTGTGGAGATACATAGTTTGGAATTTGCTATTATTCCAAATGTCATAAAATAATTTACCAGATTTTTGCAGACTTCATTGGATTTTATTTAAAACTTAAAATCCAAAGGCTGGATTCAGAATGCCTGATTTGCTGGGCTGCTTGTTTAAAAGTCAGAGGGTCTAAGGGCTTTGCTGTCAACATTGCTCAGCAGAGCTTTACAAGCTAAATCAGTCATCAATTAAAGATACTGCCACAAAGACAATTTAGTGAATCAAGATTTAAACCACCTATATTCTCAAAAATACCCAACTTCACACCAAAAGAAAACTCTGACAGTTACCCTGTATTCAAGCCCTTAACTTGGATCATTAAGCTAACTCTTTTGCGTGTTTTAGAAATTTTTAACAAAGATCAAGCAAGAGTCAGTGATAGTTACCTTATCCTTTTTCAGTTCTTCAACAATTACTGGGGAAAACTTAAAGTCATCTGCATCAAAAATGAGAAAAAAAGAGAGAAAGAAAGAAAGACTACATGATTCAACTGCCACTGCATGAGCAAGCTTCAGATCTGTAGCTGCAATCTAACTAAACTTTTGCCACACATCCTAGTTCTGCTTCCTTAACCCTTTAACTCCCAAGATCTCTTTAATAATTCTCCTTACTGTCTGCTATATAGGTCTTGTGATGTAAATTTGGAGAATTTGGTATTGGATCAACTAATAATCCCTCATTGATATTACTATTTCTTTATTCTCATCGCTTGTCTGCTTGATATTGTATTGATATTGTAAGGAGAAATTCTGTTTTGGTCATGCATGGGAGTTAAAGGGTTAAGCTTTTTCTTCCTTACTGTATTTTAATTTTTTTAAAGAGATTTAACTATTTCAAGATCACAGGGTTTCCATCAAGATACATGGTTGCTTGCCAATGGCATAAAGAAACATGGGGAACATTCTCCAGGTCTGAATGAACAAAATTATTTATACCTGAGACTTATTAACTTACGTTTCTTTGGAACATTACTCTCAATAAGGGTAAGTTCTGATGAGGATCTTGCACCACCATAATTCAATGTCACAACAGATTCCCGAGGTCGAGCTGGAGCAGGTGAAATTCCACCAGCAGTACTGATGGAAGTCAAGGAAGCCGCATTCTTTATTCTTGATAAGGAATTAGATGAAGGTGAAAACTTTAAAAATGAGGCAAAATTACTGTGGGGGTCTTCATCCTGCAGATAAATATATGAAAATACCTTAAATTATTATCAATTAAAACAAACAAAATCCAGTTACAGTTGAGGATGATATTAACAAACACAAAGATTTATATAACTTGTTATAAAGCAAAAAATTACTTTTCTTACAATTCTCCGCCCCATCCCCCTTACTCTAAGGAGTGATCGAGACATACTTTCTCCTTACATTATCAGCATATTATGGATGCACAGGGTAACAAGTTAGAATAAGTCAAGTCATGAACTGGAGGATATAAGCTTATCGAATTGAGTCACCTTCCATGCACAAACAGAAATCTTACAGCATGCACTGAGGAAAAGGATGACTTGAACCTTAGAAGTGAAAGGGTAAAATATTGTCCTTATTCTATCGGCTAATACTAACATTGCTGTTGATGTCCCAGAACGTAAATCCTCCTAGTAAAGCTAATGCACGGCCCACAAGTAGAGGGATTTAAGGAATTTTTCAACCTAGGAATACTTCCTTGATTTGATGCAAGATTTTCAAAAAAAAATTTGTATATGAAATCTGTGGTCATTTTTGGGGAGGGTGAGTTCACAGATAATTGGGATAGATAAGGATAAACCTTACATTTTCCTTTATCAAGTTTAACTCTTTACACCTTAACATCAGTATGCATATTCTCCATATTGTTCTCTATACATTTCTGAAGGTGCTAACGAGGAGAATTTGTTTAACGATCAAGAGTTCCTCTAATAGGTGATCATTCCTTTTGTTCTAGTGAGCTTTAAAATGTTTGATTCATAGATGATATTGTTAAAAGAAATTAGATGCAAGTAACTCTTCGGGGTTAAAGGTGCTTATCATCTGCCCATCGCTTGTGGCAGCTACAGCAGAAAGTACTTGGACAAGCAATGAAAACGTTACCTCATCGATGCCAAACACAACCATTTGAGCAGCTCTCTTGTCCACGGCAGACTGGTACTTTATAGGCTCTGATAGTTCATCAACTATGGCTATTGTTGGGACAAAAAATCAAACATGAGAAAGCCTTTGCATCACTAGGACTGTACACAGGAGAACATATAACTTTTCACAAAATTTAGTTAGAGATCACTTACAGGTACAATTTTCATAGCTTCCTTGTGCAATTGACAGAGTCTGAGACAATGGTACGATGCAATCCACACAAAGCATAGCTAACACTATCTGATTAAAAACCTAACATCAATAATTAAGAGGTATTCTTCATACTATTCCCTATACATTCCCTATGGTGCGGACAAGGATAATTTGTGTAATAGTCAACAGCTTCGAATTCTTTACCTGCTGATAATTTTCATCATTCTCATAACCTTACTGCATGACTCAGTGGTGATATTGTAAAGAGAAATTAGATATTAGTCACTCTTAGAGGTTCAAGGGTTGATACAAACCTGTATATCTCTCAGGAATGTATGTCTTGAGGGAAATTTGACAAAACAATGTTGCTAATGGTAGTGGCATGTTGTTCTCTGTTCTCAAGGAAATGTGGCGAAATCCTACCAAAAAAAAGTAAAATAGCTGTGAGTACAACTGAAAATAGCAAACACTGAAAAGTTTTACTGATGGTTTCCCAATCATGATTTCAAACTGATTTGTGACACAAGCAATTGAACAGATCAAAGTTTAAGGGTTGACTTAATGGTTACTATGCTGGACCCCTGGTCAAGTTATCTGAGTGCCACAACCGGTCAAGTCAAACTGTTGTGTTCTAGGGCAAAACACTTCACTTACAGTGTCTCTCTCTACCCAGGAGTATAAATAGGTGCCAGCAATTGTCTGGGAAGCCTGATGAAATGCAGGAGGGTAATATTGTGATGGACTAGCATCCTCATCCTATCGGGAGGGCTGGGAAAGTAGTGATACTCCCAAATGCCTCATTCTAAAGAAACTGGAATAAGTTTTAACTGGAGATGGGGGATTGATATAAGCTGAGTTGATATCTTAATTGGTCATTGTAAAGCGCTTCAAAGCTGAAGTTTTGAGCTTTAGCCCTTTGCTGTTCACTCTAACAAAAGGCTGATGTCGAAATGTCAGCTTTGAAACTCTTTACAATGACCAATTAAGATATCAACTCAGTTGGTACCACTGAAATATCTTGTTATATATTCCCCACTGACCCAACACCATAGTATCTTTAGAAACCTACTGCCTTGATTCATTTAACTTAACAAATAGATCACATCACCAGCAGACTGAAACCTTCCCTACTGCTGGCCTAATGACATGAAGCTCTTACCTGACTGTAAACCATCTAATGGAATAACCCTTTGGGCAATCAGTTTATCGTTGTCATCCACAACGCCGAATCTCAAAAGTGCAAGTTCTGGAAACACAACCTACAGCAAAAAACCAAATTGATAGTCAATTGAAACCATCATATCAACTTATAATGTAGAATGATTTCAAAATTGTATTGTTTCCAAATCCTATATATACAGGCCTGAATTCTTTTTCAGGACTTATTTTCACTACTGCTTACAATAAGTAGTGTTCATTACAGCGAAGATCTTTTTGGTATTCATTTGTATCATTATTGTTGAACAAAAGGAAAGAAGTACAACAGGCTTGGACTACCCAGGTACTATACTCAAAGGGTGCTATCTACTGTCCCCAATGTGGCCCTGTATCCAGGTTCTACTGTGTAACCTGTGTATCTGTTACTTCCATTTCCTGGGCACTTCCAATCAGAGGAGACCTTTTCTAGTCCCAGGAGTGGCCCCTGAATGAATGTTATATCAGATAACCTTTGTATCTGTTATCTTCTTGAAAAGGAACATCTATTCACACGGATCCCAAGGATGCCACCAAATAACATTCTACACCACAGCCTTAGTATCTATTATCTTCAGGGACATCACCAAAAAGGGGACACTTTTCCTGGTCTCAAGGATGTTCCATGAAAAAGTGTTCCTCTGTATAACCTTTGTAATAACTGCCTTCATTTAAAAACCTCCCCTTTCTGAGGGAACCAATAAAAGATGATCCAAATTTCTTTCACAAATGCGATAACTTTACCCGTCTGAATTCAAATGAATCCTCTTCATAAACTGGATCCATGCCATTGTTTGGTACAAATTTTGTCTTGTACTTCTTCCGCAGTGTATCAGTAGGAAGGCCATACATATCCACTTCAACACATGTGCTTATCCTCTTATCTGACAAGAACTGCCCTGATATCACCTAAAAAGGTACCATGTAATATCAGAAATGTTTTTAATTATTGAAGTGCCACTACAGCTCACCCCAATGTCTGAAGCATGAAAAAGCTTGGATATCCTGTGGTGCTTATTTATTTACCTCTAAGGGATGTTGGTTCATGTCAAGTTACCCTTCAGGCATCATTTGTTCAAAGGCTGAGTATACTTTATCCACAGATTAAGTTCATCTTTGTGGCATTCCCCCCCCCCCCAACCCAAATCACCCTAAACATTACCCTTTATGATAAATACCTTGACAACAACTGAAGCAGCCACCATTCCATCAATGACTGATTCAGTGAATGGATCAAACTGCCTGTCAGACCGTCTCATGAGATCAGGTTTGAGAAGGTACCTACAGAGTACCAGAAAACAATTGTGTGACTCAAACTTGGTGTATCATTGACGTTGAAGAAGCCAATCAACTCTTAATAATAGCAATTTAACATGAGAATTCACATATGCTTTATGATGGGAAGTTTTTCCTCTAGGGATGAGTGCTAACTTAATGACATGGTGATGGCTGCAAAGTGTGGATGATGGCAGATTGTAGTTGTAGCAATTGTGAGAATTAAAAATCTTAAACAAGTCTAATGTCCCCATGCCTGCCCACACTTATTCCAATTGTGAGAATTAAAAATCTTAATAAGTCTAATGTCCTCATGCCTGCCCTTACTTATTCCAATTTTACAATTTGTAAGCTTCTGGGTTTACTTTCACTCCTCAAAATCATATTTCATTAGGTTTCTCTGACTGACAATAGAGCGGTACCCATTTACACAGTGTACCTCGGGTGGAGGGACAAAGTGATAGAGCTGAGTGGAGAAACCATTGATTAATGATGGTTAATCAACTAGTGAAAAAGATATCAGCTGTCTCTTATATACAGGTGCCTGAGTCTTTGTGTTTCATCTTTTGTAAGATTCAGAGAGGAGACATAAGCTCTTACCTACCCCTTGCATCCTAATATATTCAAAATTTGTTTCTGAACTTATTTTATGCTGTTTAAGTGTTACTTATCTTAGTTATGTTCTTGATTTATTGTCCTGTAATTACTTCAGCATTTCAATAAACTCATTTTGTCCAAACTGTCACAACATCTTAGAAACATGGAATGATTTATTACTTAGAGTACTCATCAATGGCCCAGAAAAGGTTTTAACCCATACCCCTTCCATCACAAGTCTACTCTAAAAAGACTACATCCCCTCACTAGTCTAGATGTCCACAACCGTACACACAATAAAGTTAAATGCCATACCCGCATCTTTTGTTGTATTCAAATTTTCCATCATTCAGTTGAAAGGCTAAGTCTGTGTAGATGAAAAATGGAAAAGCATTCCAACTCATAGGTTCAAGCATATGAAGCACTTTTACAAAATGTTCTTGTAGAAATAAGCCTTACTAAAAAGGAGAAAATGGTTTTTTGTACATCAAGTGCTTGCTCTCCTCAAGTAATCAAGTGCAATTCCAATACTACAGATAAATTTCAAATGGACACATGACGTAAATAAAAAGAAATTGCTTTAATTAGTAACTGTTGCTTTTAATGATACCTGATGTTTGAAAGTTGAGAGAGACCATTTGGCAGCCGACATTCCAGAACACCTGAAAAGGATTGCAAGAAGTAAGACAATTATATATTCAACTTCCACAAATTATATTTTAATAACAAGATGGCAGAAAAGGCAGAGAAAACAAAACAAGGGTATAAAATTAAAATGCAATTGCATATTACAGAGCGTGGAAAAAACCAAGAAGTCTTTGCACTACAAGAACTCTTGTGTGGCCTACTCAGTACATGTAAAACAGTTCTGTTTACAAAATCTTTTTGACAACTGTGACTGTCAGAACCTAGTTCTCTAGAAAATAGGTTGCATATTTGGGTTTCAGGTTTATTTATTCTAACTAAGCTTTGTAATAAAACATCCCAAATTAATATTTCCCTAAGTACCAAACTCAACCAGATTTGCCATTCCAAAAACCAAACTTGCTTTACCTGTGGCATGTAGTTGCTTGATTCAACCCTACTCCCCCTTGGGTAGATCCTTGACAACTGACGTTTGTTATATCTTCATAAAAAGTCAAGAACAGTCAATGGTATTACTCAATTAGCAAACATTTCCAGTGAGCATAAAATCTCAGAATAAAAATGGCAAAAATAAACATCACCCAACAGTTTTCAGATCACTATTACATTGGATAAGGATCATTTTTATCATTTGTTTTGTTAATCTTTCAGTTTTATTTACTAAGATGCAATCTAGTCTATGTTTTTTACAACAATTTTGTTTTTCCAAATTATAATTTTTTTCTCAAATTATTATTGTTACTATTATAACCATTACTTCTAATTTTTATTGTTGCACAATAACAAAACTACAATACATCACAAGAATTTACATTACATTAAGATGTTGGGAAAAAGGCTAGAAAAATTATGTCAATGAGTAAATAAAAGGGGTACTGACAACAAAAAATTAACCACGGAAATTCATAAAAAATAAAGGGGGAGGCTCTAACAACATAGTTGCTGTTCTACAAAAAATAGCTCAACACACAAACTAACATCTTCGAACAAAAGGATACCTGACAAATTCTACCGGACTTGCTTTCAGTAAACCAAACCCAGTAGACTCATTAAATGATGAGATGTGATGAGACAAGTTCTTTTCTGCAAAAAAAGAGGGTAAGTAGTTAACAAAATTATCTAGTAATTGACAACCTGCAATTGCTGGGCGGTTAGCAGCTGGTCTGTAATAACTTTTTAATGTGAAGAGCTAAATATCAGGATTAACTATTTACAGTGTCTCATGCCTCAAGACAAGGAAAAACTGAAAATAAAGTTACAAAGACAGTTCAAACTTCTAAATATGAATGAAATGTTTTAGCCCTTCAGCCTCTAAGAGTGGCATCTAATTTCTCCTTACAATATCACCCCTGAATCAAACACGAAACCCATGAGAATAGAGGAGATGATCACCAACCAAAGGTCAGAGCACTTGACTGTTAAATAAATTCTCCTTGTCAACATACTGATGTTAGGTTTTAAAGGGTAAAAACAACCTGCCTCAGCTGGCTTTCTAGTCAAGTGCTCAAAAATTAATTACCTGATTTCTTTAGCAAGAAGCTACCTTACACTGCACAAATAATACTAACAAACACATTTCTTTTCTAATTTACGTTGACACTGTATCACCTAATGGAGTTCATCAGAGGTGGGTTTAACACTGAAGATTAAAGTAAAGCCATGGGTAAACCCCTGTTTTGGATTAGAGTGTGTGACTAAGTGGGAGAGTCCTGTAGGAAGATATTTGACTTGAGCACCAAGAGCCAATTTTTTTCCAGTCTTGCCCTAGCTTACTTAGTCAGTAAATGATTCATCATGTAACTGGTGCACTTCTTTCGTCAAAGAGTTCTCTATAGATCAATGGCAGAGCACTGGAGTGCAAAATGAGTCAGATATCTTTCTTTTTATTTGTCTATAAAAAATGAATGAGATGACAGAGCTCAAAATTTAGCATCTTTTTGGTTTCTATTTACACTAACAACTAGACAGTAACATGTCTCAACCTACTTTCTGCTTCGTCAAATCCAGTAAATGGTACTGGATGAATGTAATTGACCAATGATGACAAGAAGGGATGAATGCTTCCAGTGGTTGAAGTGGTAGTCATTTGTGCTAAGCATTCCAAGTCTTCGGGAGTGAGACTGGCTGCCCTTGATGTCTTTACAAAAATTTCAAAGTATGGTTAGTCAAAAAAAAAGATTAGATTGTAGAAGTCAAATGTTAGAAGAACAAAAAAGTGGCGTATGAGGTGCAGCTAAATGTGTTGCTAATCTTCTTTTTACATCATGATGTCTTCTGTAATCTATTTGGGTACAGAGCCATGGCAACATGGGATCTATTTGTTTTATATGATAGAAAAAAAAAATTTTGTTTATGGTGATGTCATCTCTGCATCTGTCCTCCAATAGATCATAAGTAAGAACCAATCAAACCGCATGATTGTATAATTCAGCTTATCACCTAAACTGTCCTATTACACAGTCCTATTACGAACATGACAAATATATTGTCCCATAAGGACTCAAATCAGGCTGCTGAGAGCAAATCAAGTGCATGAATTTTGTTACAGTTTTGATCAAAGGAGCTCTATCAAAATACTTTGAATCACTTTCCGTACCCACCTTCTTGCCCCCAACCATATTAAGTCTCAGTGAACTTCCAAAGCTGGCCAGTTTCTCCTCTCGTTTCTTAAATTCACTGATGACATCTCGCTCTTCGTCATCCTCCAAATTTGAATCCACACTTTGTGTGCTTGCATTACTCTCTTTCCTTCCGCAAAAGAATTTTGGATCATAAGAATAGTCTTTGCTGCCTCTTGAGGATGATGATCCAGAATTCGTTCCTTGTACTGAAGGGTGAGTTCTTTTAGAATCTACCTTGCCATTGCACTGAATTACGGATGAAATTTTCCCATTTTTTTGATCATTTTCTTCAAGCTCTGAATCAACCTTCTTCCCCTCTGATTTTAAGGAACTTTCATCGGAATCATCAGCACCTTTGTGATTGTCATTTTCGGTAGAATCAGAAACTTCTCTAATAGACTCAAGCCCACCATTACTACGGTATGGTTTATGAACAACATCAGGTGTGTTACTTTCTTCTTTGGTAGATGGAAACTTGTAAAGTGTCTCCCCGCTGTCTGTCACAGTCACAGTTGGCGTTACAGAAAGACTTTCACTGTCAGTGGAACCATCTGAAGTTGCACTCAAAGTTGAAGCCAGAGAGATCCCTGAAACACGGTTTGCTGAAGAAGGTATTCCTTCTTCATTAGTTCTTGACGATCTTGAACTACTTTCTGAACTACTGTCTGCTACTGACTCAATTCCTTGCATTTCGAGAAAGTTCCTACTATTCCTTGACATGACAAAGGTATTGTCCAGATCTTTAGATACACCATTTAAGCCTGCATCATTAAGAATCCTGGAAAGAAGAAAGTTTGAGTACTCTGACACTGAATCTGACTCCGAGCTAAACTGAGAAATGTTATCAAGGGTCACAGACTTGTCATCAGATGATTCTTCTGCCGCAGTTGATGTAGATTCTCGTAAAAGGTCGTTGCAAATTTTATCACTGTATGCCATAATTTTATCAAACTCCTCGCAGCTTACAGATCGGTCACGAGCATCATCATCATCATCATCATCATCATTATCACTTTCTGGCACCTCATCCTCCTCTTCAATTTCATCATCAATAATTGCAGTTTCCTTAATGCTTCCTGCACGGTAACCTGAATAAGAATATCAACATGGAAATAAATAACTATCAGCATCTGAAATTGAGACCAGCTGGTTGGCAATGGAACCAAAGAATAAATGCTAACTGCCAGTATTTCAATGCTAGTTACCAGAGGTGGCTGACCAGTCTTCAAGAAATAACTCAATCATCAATCTTTTTTTTTTCATTCTGCTCTCAAATGGTGATCATTCATGAACAAGAATAGGTTTTCAGCAAAACCTCACTTTGATTATAATCAACCTTCTTCTAGCAGTCAGATGTTATGGCTGACAATGGAAGGCCAAAATAGGTAATTCCAACAAAACTGAGTGCCTCCCTAGCTCAATGTAGGTTCTTGAATTTTTTCCAGTTCTTACATCTTGTATGCAGTTATCGCCTATGTTGTCATGTTACCCAACATCTGAATGATAGTCAAATTAATAACCCTATTTTAAGCTTATAAATATTTTATTTCTGTGCAAATCTGACCACCACATTACCTGAAGAGTCAGTGGGTTCATAATCGCTAAGCAGTTCACTGAAATCTAAAGGGAAAAATAAGACCAGAATCAACATTTGACATAATAATTAATAGACAATTTGACTGAAGCCTTGCACCATTGTATTTCTTTTTTTTCCCAAGCTAAAGATGCTGTAAATCAGTGCAAACTTGAAATAAAAAAGGAAATTCAGTAGCTCAATTTAAGGTCTACTGAAATAAAGATGAAAATAATTCTTCTCCTCTCAGTAGGAGATGTATCTAAAAAGGATTATTTTTTCACCTTCCATTTCCTGTTCTGGTTTGAGTTTCTTGTTCTTGATGATTATTTTTCTTTTGAGATGGCTTGGTGATGGAAGTGGTCTACCTTCTTCAATCTAAGGAGAAAACAAAAAAAAAAAAAAAGAAGTTAATAATTAATCAAAAGACATATAATAGCAATGGAGCAATCTTCAGTTTTGTGTGTCATAAAACCAAAACCATATCAATCAAGACAGGCTATTGAGGAACGAAAACATATTAAAGAGCCAACGATAACTCAAAGTAAAAACAAGAAAAATGCCTGAAGCATGAAACAATGTGGGTGAGCAAGTTGTGATTGGTTTTAGTTGTGAATTGATTGGTTAACCCTTCAACTCCCAGAAGTGATTAACATGAAATTTCTCTCTAAATTATCCAAACATATGACTGGAAAACAGGTAATGAGAATATTCAAACTTATCAGGTATGAGTCATTATCCTGATTTAACACCAAATTCTTATTGCTGATTTTTCAAGGAAATGTGTAGCAGCTAGAGGGGAGAAGTAACAGGATGATCTTGAGAGTTAAAGAGTTAAGAGAGCAGTACAAGTTTTCTGAATCAATCATATCACAGCGTAGAGGAAAAACTAAGCAATCCAAGATTGCTTTTGACCCTTCATTGAATATTGCTCTTTACAAATATCATCAATATCATTATCATTATTGCCATTGTCCCAAATCATTTGAACTTTTTTCAGTTTACAGTGTGTCAACAGTTTTTTCCTTTATCACCAACAAGGCAACAAATTTAAAATAGTCAGCCCTTTGACTCCCATGAATTACCAAGACAGAATTTCTCCTCATTGCACCAATACAATATCAAGCAGACAATACATGAGAATAACAAGAAATATCAACTGGAGAATCATTAGTTTATCAAGTACCAAATTCTTCAAACTAACATCACCAGAATTATAAAGCAGACAGTAAAGAGAATTACTTCAATCTGAAATCTTGGGAGCAAAAGGGTACGTTACTTACTGGATGACTTTCCAAAGGAAATTTCAATAGCATATCTCCAAAGATATCAGTACAGTAACTAGCCATCCTGTGTTGTTGGGATTTGCTGAAACAATACAGGAAAACTTGAATAAAACAATTACCCATTCAGAACCAAACACAAGTTACTGTCAGTAACAACTAAATGCTACATTAACCAATAACAACTCAAAAGAATTGGAGAAATAACACTGTTATTTACTTTCATTGAATTAAAATTAATATGTGATTATCAAATACACTAGCTAGCAAAAATGATGGATTAGTGAAAAATGCCTTTGATTTCAAGAAAATTAATTAAATAAATGCTTAAATAACTATACCATAATCAGCTTAAATACCTGCAGTGATTCTCAAAGGATAGTATCACTGGGTACTCAGATGTCACAAATGCTGAGTCGCGAATTGCTTCTATCACATCCTGCACAAGAAATCAACAAAAGAATTATGTTAATTACTGGTAGTGAATTTCAAGAAACAGATACATGCAGGATAAAGGAATTCCTTGTCAGATCCAAGGAGTTTAAACCTTCAACCCTAGTATCTAACTTCTCAATAAGGCATAAGTACTGAATCAAACAACAGGCCCAGGAGAATAAAAGAAATGATCACTTTTTTGAAAAGCTCCTGATTTTTAGCTTAACTCTCCTTGTCATTGCCATAGGAAATTTATAGAGAGCAGTATAGAGAATATACATGCTGATGTTAGGGTGTCCAAGGGGTTTAGAGGGAACCTCACCTTAAACATGATGTTAGTACACATGGCTTTGCCATGTGTTATAATGGGCTCATCACCAGGCCCATCCCAGCAGTCCAGTTCAATGCACCTTTGATTTAAAGAAAGAAATCAATTTGTGCATCAGTATGTTCCATGTAATTTAAGAATTAAAATAGACAATCTTGCAAGTTGTGTATGTAGGTTGTCTCACAACTCAAAGCTTTAATATTTAGTAACCCCTATAAGAGTATTACTTACATTTAATTTCTAACCCTAAGCGATCACCCTTATGTCAAACATGAGGGTTGTGAGAATAGAAGAAATGATCACCAACCAAAGAAGATCGCGATTGTTTAAAAAAATGCACCGGTATCGCAGAGGTCATGGGTTCAAATCCCGTACGGGCCTGAATTTTTTTCAGGTCCTATTTACAACTACTCGTTTCAGTAGTGTTCTTAGCTGCGAGGATCACTTAATTTCATCTCTCCACCGCAGTGCAAATATATGAATTTTCATATATCTAAAATCTTGAAGTCTCCTTGTTAGCACCTTGGAGAGCAGTATGTAGAATAATTTTTTTATACACACTGATGTTAAGGTGTGCAGAATGAGCATTTTTGAGAAAGGGAAAAAATCTATGGATGGTGAATCAACTACAAATAGTGAAGGATTTAAATTCCACAATTCTCTGTTGCTCTTGTGAGGCTTTTAACCCTTTAGCTCTCAAGATTGGATTGTTAATTCTCCCTTCTAGCTGCTACACATTTCCTTGTAAATAAGTTACAAGAATTTAGTGTTAGATCAGATAACAACTTCTATCAATACATTTGAGTATTCTCATTACCTGTTTGCTGGATGGTGAATGGATATTTTAGGGAGAAGTTACTTGTTAATCACTTCTGGGAGTTAAAGGGTTAACAATAAAAACGCATCTTACCGACAGCCTGCCAGCAGGCATTGCCTGTACATCTCCACAGAAGACTTGCCGCCAAACTGACGCCCTGGAACATTAGAACATCAGATCTGAGCAAAACAGTTCACAACCAGTTAGCATGATGCTTTTTAGGTAGATACAAAAATGTGGCTTACCCACAAGGTAAGTATTGTGTGACGAGTTAATAAAGTAGTGTGACAGAGGCTGTGTCATGTCCTGATAAATTTCCACTCTGTTAGGCATCATAAGAAGATTGTCGTCACTCAGTAGATATCTTGTCAGTCCATTGACAGTGATCCGATCTACCACAAGAACACAGACAAAAAACGTCGATTAGATACAATAATAAATGGTGACCATAAAATGCCTTAACCCTTTAACTCTCATGAGTGACCAAGACAGAATTTCTCCTTACAATATCAACCAGACAGGTGATGAGAATATATATATAGAAAAAAATAAGTTTTAGGATTTTCTAGTTGATCCAGTACCAAATTCTCAGAACTAGCATCATAAGAATTGCATGGCAGACAGTAAGGAGTATTACTAATGAGATCATAGGCATGAAAACTTATTAATAAAAAGTTGCATCAATGACTTATTTGGAAGCGGAAATTTAAAAAGCAGTATTTCATTGTTTTATTCCTTTCAAGGGTTATTCCATACCTCTTTGTAGGTTATCCAAAGATTTCTCATACTTCCATATTAGAGAAAGGGCCTTCTCTCTGTTGTAATATGGGTAGAGTATCTCATTCAGTCGAGGATCTCTTTGCTCATGATTCAAGAAGTTAACCAGCTGGTTGACATTAAGGTAGGGGGCTTTGCCACCACCCCTGACAGAAAAAGAAATGATCAATTAACAGTTATTCACTTTGGGCTCAAAAGATATCTAATGCCCCATTGCAGACTGGGTTCCCATTCCAGCATGGCATGAAGCATGAGAAATGACAAAAGAGCTGAGGAAAACATGTTCAGACAAGTTCCCATGCTCAGCAAAGGTACTTGAGTACCACCCCAGGAGGTAATGCCCATGTCTGGCCACAGTGCTCAAATTTTGGTTAGGCACCAACGAAAAGCTATGTTCAGACTATTGTCTGATGCCAGTACAGGCAAGTTGTACAAAGGATAATCAATGAAATATTCATCAAAATGGGAAAGGAGACAATTTATTGATGTTTTTTTCCTTTCTTACCATCTAATACACAGTTGTTCGATTTCAAGCCTGCCACAAACTTTCAAGTAGAGCTGATAAAACTGCTCAAAGGTAAATGATGAACAGTCAAGTTCATCAGTCTGTTGAATAGGAAAAAATAAAACAAAATGGTTTTTTTAATTTGAACACTTTGTTGACAAGACAAAAAAAATACCCCTTTCTAGAAAAAATAAAGGGTTCATCTTTAATTTATTTCATTTTTTCCTCAATGAAATTGTAGAAAAGAAAGCTATGTTAAGTTTGATTTTTAAATTATTACCTTCCCACAAGGAAGTTTCATAGCTTCTAGTCCTTCAAATACTCTTTGCTCGTACTTTCCAACATTCAGGCACTTGCAGATACTGAAAAAAAAAAAAAAAAGTAAACAGATCAAGAAAAGCAGTTCATAGCAAATGGAGGTCTGTCTTGAGTTAAGAAATTTCAATTTATTTCGCAAGTTTCAAGTTCCTAGAGGTGCCTAGAAGTACTGCAAAATTTATGTCCATAATTTAGACCGAATTCACAAATTCTTACTTCCATCAAGGTCCATTTGCAACTCACTGTTCTTTCATAATGAGATGCATATAAACCAGGGTTCATATGTCCTATACTTCTGTATGGTAGATAAACATGGTTGTCAGCTGGATTCTTAGCCAGTGATCGCTCAGTAAAGCTCTAACATAAAATCTTAATGTAAGCTTAATTTGTTAGCGACAACTCTAGCAAAGTATATTTCAAACTTATGTGTAATTATAACAAGGGTAATACCTGTTTCTAATGACAACTTCTACTCAAGTTGTCAAAACATTGGTCACTCTAACTGAAAACAGTCCTTTTCTGGACTACTCTACACTAAACCTGGACAATCAGACTACATAATTAATTAAGGAAGCTTACTTCTTTACAGAAATCTTGTTGGAAGGAGTTGCCAAATGAACAGTGAGCTTGATATAGCTGCAAATGAAAGATTTACAACCAAGTAAGTCTGATTCAGCCATCAGTTAGTAGAGCATTATTTGTATTTAAACAACTTGAGGTAAAAAACATTGAGCATGGACTGCATACAAAGGGGAAAAGGAGAGAAAAGTTGATTGGAGTGCATAAAGTGTGATCCTAAGGATCTGAGAGCAAATGGCTGCAAGGAAGGTATTGTTTCTTCATTACAAAAAGTGAACTGTGAAATGTCTTCCAGTCAAAATGATATTTAACTGACGTGACATATTCATGAAAATGTGACTGACTCCATTGAAGAGGGAAACCAAACAAGAGGTACATTGTTACCAACTGTGTCAATTTGTGTGGTTCAGGTTTCTGGAATATCCTATGGATTGCCAGTGGTAACAGCCAGCCCCTTAAGTGGAAAGTGCCTCCATCACCGGCAAAACTATACAACTAAGCCATATATAAAATGGAATTGATTACATTGACAAAATCACAGGGAACAGAAAGGGAAAAGGGAGAGTGGCAAATTCTCAACAAAGGAAAAACTATTGGTTGGTCATGTATGTGTATGTTGCCTCAAAACCTCATGGTGCTGCCCATAATGCCCCACTAGTTAGGAATGATGTTGGAAACAGTTGAAGTTGCAGCTGATATACAACTTGTCTAAGCTCTATCCACTTTCATTGCTCACTCTGGTTCATATTTTCAACTGTTAAATGGTCAACAGACTATGTTAAAGAGGAAGTTGATTTGCCAGGTGGGAATGCAAAAATCCCATATGAAAAGATAACGAAAATAGCTATAATTTCACACTGCATATACATGCATTCCACCTTGATCTACCAAAATAAACTAACACATAGTCTACTTACAGTTTAAACAACTGTGTCAAGACGCTGGCATTCCAAATGTTGAGGTTGTGTAATAAAGGTGGGAGTCCATCAATCCATTCCTTGCAATGATAACAAGAACATTAAACCTCTTTCCTTTAAATTTAATTTAAATTACACTTGAGAAATTAATAAACTTCTAGTGAGTTCTTGTGATGATTAACACTTTCATTTCCATGAAAGACCGAAAGAGAATTTCTCCTTACAATATCAATAAACTTTCAAGTAGAAAAGTAACAAGAAGATATAATTTAAGTATCCACTGAGTGAAATACTTTGATGTTAACAAAAGTTGAAGGAAATGTGTGACAGACACAAAGTACAGAGCCTTGAGAGAGGTTAACTTGAACTCATCACTTATACTGAAACCAAGCTTAGAAACCCTTTCACTCCCATGGGTGACCAAGACTGAATTTCTCCTTATGACATCAATACCATATCAACCAGACAAGTGATGAGAATAAAGAAAACTATCAATTTGGGGATAATTAGTTGATCCAATACTAAATTCTCTGAACTAACATTATAAGAATTGTATGGTCGACAGTAAGGAGAATTACAAATTTGGTCTGAGAGTTAAAGATTAAACTCCCCTTTGTCTTAAGGTTTGACTTTACTCCCATTATCTGATACCTTTTTCCTCTTATCCCTACACACCCTGGCATCAGCATGTATAATCTCCATACTGCTGTCTATAAATTTCCTTTGTTAGTAGTAAGGAGAATTTGTTCAACAATCAAGAGCTGATTTGTTAAGGATCATTTCCCTTATGCACTTGATCCTAATGTTTGATTCATCAGTGAAATTTTATGAGAAATGAGATGCTGGTTATACCCTTAGAGGCTAAAGTGTTACAGCTGAATTACATTACATTTGGTGTTGTTTAAAAGATTGTATCCTCTACCAGATAGTGAAGTCAGTTTTCACCACCTTTTGGCTGGATAAAGTATCACTCCTAAGACTCAAAGAATCTAATTTCTCCTTACAACATCAAAAATTAAGGATATGATTACCAACTAAAGAAGCTCTTGATTGTGAAACAAATTCTCCTCGTCAACTCCTGTAGAGATGTATAGAGAACAGTGCGGAGAATATGCACACTGGTGTTAGGGTGTTAAGGGTTATATGCATCTTCAACACATCATTACTCTAACCTCTGCAATTTTACATGATGGTGCTGTTAAATGCAAGTAGGTGACATCCACAAGATTTTGACCAAAGACAACAGTAAATGACCTGTCTTCCAAGGATCCCTCTCCTTCACTTTGCAGTGTTTCTCTCAATTTGGCATCCTTTAACAGGGAGAATGACATAAGTTTGTGTAGTCATGTTTACGAGAAAAGAGTACTGTACACAACATTGATGCTAAATTTTCAGATGATATAAAAAGATCTTTTATCTGAGTGTTCAAAGAAGTCTCCAAGGCACCAACAAAAAACTGAATTCATTGCCTCAAGCAGTTAACTGAACACTTTCAATTAATATGTACAGAACAGTAACACAAATAACAAATAAATTAGGTGTCATCCTCTTAAACTTTGCAGTAGGCAAATCATTCTTATGCAAAATGTCATTATCCTAACACTTATCCATTAAGGAAAAAATTTTAACAATCATTTGGAAATGAGTTACATGTACCACAATCCTTTGTGATAAATTATTGATAAAAAAGCATTAATTTTCAGTATCTAAAGCCCCTTGGAAGTCATTAATAAATATTAAAATTTTAAAACATTGCCTTTGTGGCAAATCACCCACTTAGTGATTTGGTTTTTTCTTTAAGTGACACACATGACAAATCTACTGAGATTTCCAAGTTTCCATAACAACAGACCATAATGTGAACAATGTTTAATTAAGAAGACTTTTCATCACAATGAAAACTTGATTTTAACCTTAGACATCACGAACCGGACAATCAATTCTAAAGAGCCACAAAAACTCTTTGAAGATAATTTAGACGAAGACAGGTGCAAATTTTTTCAGCATGACATAATCTGGTAACTTAGAATAAAATAAGAGCCCTATCTGTAAAAAAAAAAAAAATCAGTGTTTGATTTAAATAATATCAAATGAATAAAGAGTACAAAAAATGTTTAGAGCTTACTCAGAGGAATGAAAAACCTGAATTTTTGCCTTATCCAAAACTTCATTGATGACAAGAATTTTTTTAAGGGGTAACCATTAAAGCTCATGGCCTCTAGTACATCTCATTGACACCTAAAATTGCTTGGGATTCATGAAAATTTCACTGGTAAAGGATTGTTCTACCAGTTTGAGAATGTATTTCACCTGTCATGCTTACATTAAGGGAAAACACAAGCTGCAAAGAAAACTTGTGAGCCTCCTTGCTGTGACACAAAATTTGGTTTGAGATAGCAAAGAAAATCAACCAGCCATTTCATACATTTGTAAGAAATGATTTAAGTAGGGTTTTCATGTAGGGATGCAGAATATCATAATAACAGGCCAGTATAAGACCTAACTTCTCTGAATCTGAATAAAGAAAAATGGCTCAGGCCATCAAAATTTAGCCAATAAATAAATAGATACACAAATATCACTTTTAAGTAAAAATTTATCTCAGATTTGTTTTGATTCATGAGGGAAAATGACATGGACTACCTTTTTGGATAGTTTGTAATTTGTCTGGTAGACATAACTTCTGGAAAATTACCAAGTTGGTAATTAAAGCAGGATCTCTGCTCACCAAACTGAATAAGTCATAAATGAAAAATATAATTCTCAAAAATAGCAACTGAAATTTAAATGTTACACTACATAAAAACTTATCGTGCAGGCACCAAAGTACGTATTCTTTTTTTTGGTTACAAATGTATTGAGTTTCATTTAACCAGCTACTATTCGACCAAGAAAACGTAATTTAAATTTAAAAAGGTACAGACGTGTGCAATATTGGGAAAATGCCACTGATATCTCTAGCACCCAAACGCTGTGGTACTAAACAAATTCAGGAAGCAAATTTGTCTCAGATAAGATTTTCAGAACCCAATACTTGACCTAGTACTAAGTAACAGAGCAATTTTTCCAACAATTTTTTTAAATTTTGGTTGCCATTTATTTTCAATGAGTTGATCCAAAAAAGGAACTTTGTAGTATTAAGATGTTACTAAACTTAGGCTGGAAGTGTTAAGTGAAAGCATATCTAACCCTCACAGTTAGTCGTGAGTGACATGCAAACTGTACGGATGAGGAAGTATTTCAAAATGCCTACAAGATGGCAGATAAAGAAAAAACATAAATCCATCTAAATTCACGGATATTCAACTTGTTTACAACCCGATAATTCAATTTGATGGTATCGAACACTAAATTTATTTTTCAGTTCAAACGCTCTCTTAACAAACTCGATAATATTTTCGCAGGTAATGTTTTCCATGAAAAAGGTACACCGAAAAAAAAAACAAAAAAAACAACCTCTAAATATGGCTAAATTAAAACCCACACAAAGTTGTCAGGAACCCTAATGCACTCAGCTGTTAAGAAGATATTTGTTATCTCTAAAGCAGAATGTTCACGATTTATTAAACCTGCAAACGGTCGCCTTCAATCAGAGTGATGTTACATGCAGGTATTGGTTTCTGTTCCAAATTATTTGACCGCTTGTGCGTGATTCATGCGACAAAAAAACACCCTTGAAAACTAATTACCCAAAGAAAATTCACGCACCGGCTCTGCTTAATTCATAATAAAAAAATACTCAACCGGTCGATATTGAAACTTGCTTTTTGTTATTTCACGTGGCTGATGATACTAAAAAATATTCAATCCAAACACGAATTGCACACAAACTTGACAGCCATTTACGATAGACGTCAAAATTGTTATATCTTTATGTCGTAGTTGACATCAGCTGCAACTTAGAAATGCATTTTGCTTTCATTTCGATCTTAACGTTTCCTCAGTCGCACGCTCGTTCAGTTGATCAACTAGGACAACTACTAATTCTACTGAAAACCGAAAACGAAACTAACCAAATATCGCCCGTACAGATCGAATTTTTCATCCTCTCTGGACTCTCATTTCCTAATTTTGTGCTACGAAGCCAGTGGTTAACCTCGCCGAGATAAATTAAATCTTTCAGTTGCGGAAACAAGTATATTGATAATTGCACTCTCACGAATCTTCAAGCATGGCGCTTTCTGAGTAAAAAACAATATTCAAACATCGGTGGACAATAAAAAACTATGTCTGTTCCCAATAGATAATATTTTTTGAGAAAGAAAGAAAATTCTTCCGACTGAATCCTTAAAGAAGCCCAATAAGGAGGAGGAACATAACACGAATGTAGATAAATTTATTCGCGGGGTTTCCAAATTTTTGAAATGTAAACAAAGGTGTTAGAGATGCGCACTTCAACCATTGAATTCCTTCGATACCAAAGAGGAACGATGCTTGCCAAAATAAAGTGAATATTATTAAGGAACTGCAAACTTGATTTCAGGAATTTTTACACGATCAAATTCAGAAAAAATTAAATCCAACGAGACTATTTCGAACAGAACCAAATACATTGCTCAGATGGAATACAATTTGTGTTCCAAAAACGCAATAAAGTGTACCTACGCTTAGAATGTGTAATCTTCGCGATTTAATGATATTAGAGCGAGCCACCAACTTCGTTCATGATCGAGAGCACAGATCCAAACATATAAACAATTTCACCCTGATACGAACGTTACCCATCAAACATTTTACGTGTGTGAACATTACACAAGTTTTCTTTCGACCGCCACTAAATGCACATTATGGGCTTTTCCCATCTCTTCATTTCGAAAACAAGAATAATCTTCATGGTTGTGTAAGAAAATCTGCGAAAAATTCTAAAATCGAAATCTTACGAAAAATAATTAAAAGCACTAAGAAAAAATTGTTGCTCAGTAATCCCACAATCAAATGATGATTTGCGACGATAAAACATTTCTAAACGAAGCTTTGTTAAATACAAAAACATACGAACCTTTGGTATACCACCCGGTCTAACTTCGCTCACATGGCAAAGATCCAGACAATTCCCTTCCTAAATATACCGAGAAAAGGAGAAAAGGTGAACCACCAGAGTCTGTGACAAGAATCCTAAATATTTCATTGAGGTGAGTAAGGATTTGCCAAAACATTGCACCGCTCTGTAGGAAACGAATTTCTGTAGAGGGAAAGCTAGCAGAATTTCTCACAATTGCTGCGGCAAGTGAAAACAATCCTGCAAACTACCTTATCCTCTTCTCTCCAGCCCAAAAAGAAGCCATATTTGTCGACACAGAAAAACAGCCCTTGACTTGAGTTGGACTCCTGGAAAACGAAACGAATCAAGCATCAGATAATCAAGATGCAATCATGAAGATGACAGTCTGCAACAAGCTCCCTGGTGCGAAAGCACACTTGTTGGGTATTGATCTGTTAACCGCAAGCAACCCTGTCATTTTGACTTTTCGTTCTAACAGAACCATGCAAGAGTTCTACACACAGGTTGTTTGATATACCTCTTCCCATCTGGTCAGTAGTGTCCCTGTTTCAAGCAAGTTAGGGACGTAAACGTCCCAAGAGATGCGAGAAGTCGCCATTTCAATTCAAATCGAGAAAACCCACAGTGGCAAACTCGCCAAGGCAACATAACACATAGCAAAAGCGAAGAGATGCTTTAGAGTGCAGCTTCTATCGTCGTAAAATCATAGTTTACAGCTTGTATCGCGATGACCTCCCTCGAGCTTTTAACTATTGTGTGGTCATGTCAAGAACTGATTAGACGAACAAGCGGCGATCCGAAGCGAAGACGAACTAAACACGATCTTGTTTTCTTGCGTTACAGCCGCATTTACGACTTCCGTCCCGCTAACCAATCACAGTAAAGACCAGTCCGTCAATCAGTTTACAACACAGCTGTTCTTTACGTTACGCGGCAAAAATTGTTGGTGAAGAAAAAAATCTGCTCTTCGTAAATATTGCAATTAAAATATCAATATTCTGCTGAGCAGACTTTACACATTTCCATAACTTACAACTTCTGCGCTTCAAATAGGGATGTGACCAGATCTGCATGAATAACAATCGAGAACTGCCAGAATATCACGATGGCGCGCTTTCTTTCATTTTGTTCCCCTCTCTCAGCAAACTAGAGTGTGAAAATTTTATTTCAGAAACCTTTATCGAAGGTGAAACGCTTCTACTCAAAGAAAAGAGACTTCCACAGATTGGGAACGAGATAAAAACTTCAAATGTTCGGTAATCAATATGTGAAAATACTAGAAGTTGCTTTGGAATATATTTTTGGTACACAGACGGTGATATAAATAATGTAATTGAAGGTGATTTATCGTGATTTATCATTTCATTTCTTAAGTAATGACAAACACCACTGAACGAAGAATAATTTAAGGTGCGTCAGCAGCAAATAAATCATCAAGTCAACGCTGGCTATTACTGTAAGCGACAGCCATTTCAGGAAAAAAAACAAATCATCTTCTAGCATAGTGCTAGTATGGGCTTGAGAGAGAAATTACCAATATCTCCTGAGGATAGCTGTTGAAATATAAGAGTTGTATGTTTCCTAAAATTCGAATCTGTTAAAAAATTGGACAAAATTTTGTCGAACATCAAATCTCGCTTTTAGAGAGATAATATGAACTCGTGACAGAATCTTAACAAACGGTGCAAAAAATAAGAATAACTTCAAATCAGGACTATCTCAGTCCAAAAGGAAAAATAACCACTTTGTAAAATTATTCAGGGCATGTTTCATTAACCTTACGTAAGACTAAACAAACTTTCAATCGCAGCAAAATATAATATCTCCCGTCAAATCAAACTCAAAGCAAACCAAAGAAAATTTATGGAGAAAAAAAAAACAATAACAAAACAAAACGAAACAAATTATTATTTTTATGGCAAATTTAACAAAGTCGAGAACTCGAAATACAGCTTAAGTTCGCTGAAAATCTCGTCTTCTGCTCATCATGCTCTGCAGTATCTGGAGATTTCGGTTATTGCCAGTTCGCCCCGGCCTCCTTTTCGCCCCCACATCAGCAAGGTAGGCGCATTTCCTCTGCTGGAAGGAAACGAGTTAGAGATTTGGGGGCGAACTAATAAATGCGAGGGCGAACTTGTTATACCTGATGGGCGAACCCGTGGGTGAACTGATAGAGGGTGAATTTAGAAGAGGCGAAACCTCCAAATAACTATAAGGGATTGATTCACCCATAAAATAACAGACAATCCAGCAATTCCGACGTAATACTCCTCCAAAGAAACTTGTACAATGTATATTGACTTTTTCAGTTGTAAACGAAGCAACAAACTACAGATTGTATTTCAGAGGGCAGTGGAACAGATCAACAAGAATTTACTCTGTTGTTTGTTCCACTTGCGCTTTAGGAATGACATCAGTGGTAGGGGCACCAATCTCCTTAGCAACCATTGTTCAGACCCGTCATGCAACGCGTTCTGTGCGCGACGAGAGCGAACGAGCGCAGATTGTTAAACAGAGATGTGACCGAAGAATTGGATTGGGAGAGACTGGTCACTAAATTCACAGTTTTCGTGACATCTAATTGGTTGGGAACACATGCATAACAACCGTTCATAGCGCCAGGGCCACTCGTTTTCACTTACCATAGCCGACGAAAAACAAGAAAGGGACGGTCCAGTTTTTTTTTCTCTTTCTGTCGTTAAGCCTGCGGCGGAAAAAGACGTAACGAACTCGAAAGGGAATGCTCCTTAAGTTCAACCTAAGCACAACGCGAGCACACACACATAAGTTTTTCATTTTAAATCTTCACCGCACATTTTAAGCTTTACTTAACGATCACTACTTGATTTTCCATCAAAAAGTAGCAGAGCCGAAACGTCTCACTCACAGACTACGTGTAGCCGTACCCTCCCCCTCCCCTCGCTCCCGTTTCACCTTAGGGGGAGGGTACGGTTACACGTAGGCTATCTCGCACCTTACAACTTTTTTCCAGAGAGAGGTGCGCTATGAGATGAGATTGAAGATGCGAATAACTACTTGGACCAAATTGTTAGTAGACAGCGTCAGACACTTGGTCAGTGGTGATGGCTGAAAGAAGTATTCGCGAAAAACGGTTTAGATCTGAGAAGAGGGTTCCTAGTCTACTTTACTAGTTCTTTAGCTCGTCCCGCTTTGCCGCTACTCGTCTCCTCGAACCGAGTGCCTTAGACAATTTAGGCTATTTGTAGCACGGGCTACCCTACCCTGCCATGGCAACAGACGTGCAGACGACCTAATCATGTCACAGCGCCCTACTTTTCGTGCGCCTCATTCCCAGAGTTCCGCGCGGTGCGCTGTTATATGTTACCACTCTATTTTTCTGACTCGCAGGAGAGACTTCGTTGAAAAACAGAGTCTAGTCTATGTCGCCAAACCCTGGGCGATCTATGTCTGCGAGTAAGAAATCAAACCACCGAGAGAGTTTTGTCGGAAGAAATACAATATTTACATTTCCGTGGTTTAGTAAAAAAGACAAACCTAAACAATTGAGTAATTCATGGTATGTCACAAGTATTTGACTAATGTCGATGAGGTGATAATAAGATTACAATAGACGAGCATAGAATGTTTAATAACGACCACAAATGAACACAGTGCAAACACAATACACTGCCAGTTGTTTGCGCAAAGAACCTGAAAATCAAACAAACAAGAATAAACGACAATGCCATGTTAACATTCCTGCATTGTTAAAGAGTTTTACAATGATTCTTTAATGAAACCTTTTTAGAGCAATGTCACCAACAGATGCGCAGCGCAATGACATACAGAGATTGTTGTTGAAAGGAAGTGTGTAGTCAGTTGAAATTGCGCACTAGACACAACTGACAAGACAATTTCCTCACTGCTGTTATGTTGCAATTTTTCTGACCAGCAAATAGACGAGAAAGATGGCAATTTCCGCACCCAATTAGCGCTTGGTTTCGTGGTAAGCCCAAGTGTTCTAACAAGTACCATATGCGATAAAGTTTTGAAATCCGAGTTGAAAAGGATGTGAAATAAAAAATCGTATAAAATCTATAGCGCAAAAAGCTAAACACTTAGGAGCATTTTTTGTTTTCCTTAATAAAGTTCTCTAACATGACCAGAAAGTTAGACAATCGCGCGCTTACCAACACGAAGCTTGTGTTTCTTTTATCAATTTTGGGCGAAATAAAGTCGTATAACTGACAACAGGACGCTACCTTTCTTTGACCCCTTAAAACCCTAAGAGTGACTAGCATCTAATTTCTCTTTACAGTATCACCCCTGGATCATATGTTAAGGTCACGAGAGTTGAGGATATGATCTCCAGCTCAAAGAGCTCTTGATTGTTAAATCAGTTCTCCTTGTCAGCACCTTAGGAAATATATAAAGAACAGTATGGAGAATATGCTTACTAATCGTAGGGTTTAAAGGGCTAACATCTTTGTACCAATCATAGCAAGTAACAGCAAATGCAAGTTTATTAATTTAGCCGGCAAGTTCCCATACGGAGACCCCCTGACTTGCCTTAGCGCTAGAGTTGAAAAACTGACCCAGATGATACATTAAGACTTTCCTCATGGCTTTTACCGCAGATTCCGGCACGAAACCGTCCAAATTCTTTGATATCAACAATCAAAAACGTACCTCGTCCATACCGAGGTCTGGATGAAGACGACACTCCTCTGATTCAAGGAGTTACTCATACCTTCGTTAGCTAATACCGTTTATTAAACTAGCAATCTGAGAAGAAATATTTCTCAATAAAACGTAAAAATTGGAAGAGGACACTGTCGGAAGATGAGGAGAGAAAAACAATTCCTCTCCCTGGAAAACACAAGGGAAATGGCTTTTCCTCCAAATAAGATCACTTTTATTTTCATTTTCTATTATCTTATTATGCAAAAGGAATGAAGAAAAAATCCTCCATTGTGATCAAGCCCGGTTACCGCGCATCCATGCTCGCGTGTCCCTCACGCGAATTTTATTTCTTACGCGACCTTCTGAAGCTAATTTCCTGATCGAGGCTGGCACCTGAGAGACTGCTGATGAACTGAGACGACATCCGCTGCCTCAAGCAATGACGAAGACTGTTCACTTGTCCGTGAATCCTTCAGTCTTTATGTCTCCATTTCACAATAGCTCATGGCGACCAGAAGACCAGGAATCCGCTCGCATGCCATCTTGCGTGACTCATCTGCGTGTGACGACGAGGCTATCACACGAAATTTTAAAATCTTACAAACCCTCTACGTCATGCTGCTAATTACATCTGTGAGGTAGATACTCATGGTTTGCCATCATGGGTCATGGATTTTTGCGCTTTTAAGTGACTCGAAGTATATACAGTTAATTGCATGAATGCAAAGTTTGACCATAAATTTATATGTGATTATTTGTACACAACATAAACCCAACATAGCATGAAAAATTGTAACAAAAAAAATCCACTTAAATCAAATCTATTTACAATACTGAAGAATTTATCTCCACGGATAAATTCATCAGCATTTTATCTTAATCCTGGGGACTAAATGGAACAAAACAATGCGGTATCTGAACCATCATTCCGTTGTAGCCTCAAACAGACTAAGC